TCCTCGCGCGCTGACGAGGCAAGATTTTAATTGGCCGGTCGCCGAGTACGACCGAGAAAGAAGCGTCCACCAACACCCTGATGAAAACCCTGAAAACTCGCCTCGCGACGGTGCAGTCGCGGTGTCGCGGGCGACGAGCCGAGGAATAAGAAGAAGACCAAGTACATACACACCAAGTGGCTTGCGCGCGGCTCGATTTCTCGTTGGTGGTTCGCGGGGTTAAATATACCCTCGTTGGTCGCATCATACACACCGAGAGCCGGCGGATTGAGAGGGAGAGGGAAGAGAGACAGAGAAAGCGAAAATAGAGCGAGAAAGATAGGAATTAGTCGCGCACACACACACACACACACACACACACACATACACACACACGCGTGCATACGCACGCGGCCCGCGAGTGGGAACGGGACGGGCGAAGGAACACGAAAGAGGGAGAAGAAGAAGAAGTAAGCAGAAGAAGGGAAGGAAGAAGAGAGAGAGAGAGAGAGAGAGAGAGAGAGAGAGAGAGGGCGGGAAAGAGAGGGAAGAAGTCGAGCTCTGCTATTACAGAGCACCTCCGTGGCCGCGGCGCACAGCCCGATATGGAGCAATCTCAGATTTCCATCCGCCCAAATCGAGAATATACGCCCGCGCCTCCGCTCGCTCCTCTTGGCCCGCGGAGGGCTGGTCGTTGTCGTCGTCGTCGTCGTCGTCGTCGTCGTCGTCGTCGTTTCTCTCGTCCCTCGGAGCGGAGGTGGAGGACGTCACTCTCTACGAGTCGGGGTTGTCGCTTGTCCATTCTCTCGCTCGTAACAGTGCCAAAAGTACGCTCAAAACGCATCGCTCCGCTCCGTCGCTCCCGTTTTTTCCCTCTCCGCTCTCTTCCTGCCCGTCTCATCCCTCCTTCTCCGTCTATTTACCGTCTTCCCACCTTCCTCGCGATTGATCCAGTTACCCGGCCTCATCCACCGGGAAACCCAACCACGTGCCCAGTGCTGCCTCTCGCCCTCTCCTCCTTGATCCATCGCATCCGTGATCGCCGCGAGTCGGAGTAGTGACTCTCGATATTCCGGTACGCCCGAGAGATCGCGCGAGCCGAATCGATCGAGCGTGGGCGACCGCGGGACCGCGTCGGGCGCGCGCGGCCGGCGTCAATCGGCCGGGAGAGTGATTGATCGCGGCTTGTGACTCGGACTTGTGCTCGACGGACGATGATCGGCCGGCCATCGACCGGCTCGAACACGGGAAATCAATCGCGCGCGAGGATCGCGACCCGAGTCGCGTCCACGTAGGACCGTCCGTGCGATCACGTTGCACGTTACGTTCGGTCGCCGCGAACTCGCAGTCTTCTTCTACTCTCTCAGAGGCTGGGACTCACCGAGAACAATACGTTCATGTTGCCGGAAAGCAATTTTCCCGTTACAGGTAATCGAGAGTGCGCTGATCGTCGAGTGTAAGAGGGAAACGATGTCACCGCTCTTCGGAGACCTATCGCGAGAACATTCGGAGCTGGGAGTGGAAAAGCTATGAGTGTATTTCTCGGCCGATCGCGCGCGTCTCTTTTTCGGAAGCGATTCGTCAGCCGTGGCTGGCGCGATGAAATAACAGCGGTTTGCTCGGCGGTTCCGAGCTCGGTGCTCACCCCTTTGAGGGAACGCTCGTCTCTTTCCGTAGCTCAATCTAGCCACGTGGAGGACGCCGCCGCCGCCGCCGCCGCCGCCTCCGCCGCCGCCGTCGCTGCCGCGCGTCGCTCTTTCTCTCTCTCTCTCTCTCTCTCTGCTTCGGTCTAACGCATAATTACAGATCTATAGCGACATGATAATCGGGCCAGTGGATCACGGCCCGTCGGGTAATATATAGCAAAATCGATCCCTGCGCGACGCGATTACGTGCGTGGCGACGTAGTGGGTTCGAGAATACTCTCGACGACGAGGACGCAACGTCGCGCGAGAGGATTTTTGTCCAAAGACTTTTTCCTCGGTCAATTGCATCACCTTGACACATTCTCAAGCGACGCGTCTGACTTTCCGTTTTTAACCTAGTTGCGCCTCTGCCAATAGAACGCGAGAGAGAGCACATGCTTTCCCGCGGAACAAACGCAACACGTACATACGCTCTCCAAATCGTCCACTTGTTGCCCGCGAATGTGTGAGATTCGGACGTTTGGACGTAACAGCGCCGGGAGGAAAAAAAACGCGAGACGAGAGAGAGAGAGAGAGAGAGAGAGAGAGGAGGAACGAGTACTCCTCGACATGAGTGTAAAATTACGAAACGCGAAATACACGCCGAATCTTGCAGCCGCTCGCAAATGCGGCCTCTGAACGCGGCTCGGATCGCCAGCTTCCCTCGAGGAAGAACAAACCGTCGATCTTTTCAACGCGACTGCCGATATTCCAGGCGCGAGAGAGCGTCGTGGCGCGCACGACGAGTGCGCTTCTGCGATCATAAAGGCATAGCGCGGCGCGATGCCATCAGCCATAATCCTAAATATGGAGTGAGAAATTTGAGAGAACCGAAAATAGTGGCGCTACGCCAACCGCTAAAAATAACCAAAAAATAAATTGTAGTTACGCGCTCGCCTGCATCATTCTATAACTGGTCTTCAATGAAAACGAGCCATCTCCCGCGTACGCCAATATTAATTTAACGCCTTACGCCGCGTATTTTCACCGCGTCTAACTTTCTTCTCTCCCTTCTCTTCTCTCTCTCTCTCTCTCTCTCTCTCTCTCTCTCTCTCTCTCTCTCTCTCTCTGTCTCTTTTGCACATTTCGGCTAGGTCGTTCAGAGTCCGATTTTTCGTCTTTTCTTCCCGCGACTGTAGGACATCTGGGAAACTTCAATTCCTCGAACACTCACGAGCTAGAGCTTGAACTTCGTGCAGCGAAGGCAGGCGGGGCGGGGGGGGGGGGCATCGTACAACTCGGATACGCAGAATGGTGAAATTGGAATTTTACGGATTCCACTTTTGGAACTCGAGTATTTCTGTATCTAACCTTTCTAAACCCCCCCCCCCCCACGATCGAGATCGAACGAGCTCGGCCTCGAGCATCGAGCGCCTTAAACCTTAAAGCGAAGTAAAGCAGTGACAGCCGATCTCGCGGGCGTCCCAAGGCGTGAAACTCGATCGACTAAGGCCAACTATGGCCCAGGAATTGCGGGTGTTGGGTGGGCCGCGTACGGGAGTGTGTCCGGTTCTATTTTCGTGCGGGAATATTTTTATCCGGCGGTGCTGCAAAGTCGCAGTATGTATAATACGTTTCTTCGTCTCCTCCGCGTCGTCTCCTTCTTTCTCCCTTTCAACCTCTTTCGTGCGCGCCGTTTCCTAACATCGCCGCGCCGGTCGCCGACGTCTCTCCGCATCGTTAACCCCTTGACTGCGCGGAGTCGCGTCTCGCACGTCTCGCGGTGCGTTAGTGAAATTATATAATACGCGAAACGATCGTCACCACGGGCCACGAGATACAATCGAAACGACAATTTTCCTCCCTTTTCGTCCGCACGCCACAAGGAAGCGCGGAAACCCGCCGAGCGTATCGTATTTCACGGAGGTTTATTATAAGTGTCACACGACGGACACGCTCGTGCTCGAGGAAAGAAAGCCCGATGGAGGCGGTTAACGCGCGACGATGAACGAAGCAGAGGGACGTTTCCGTAGAAGGGCACGGAATTTCTGGCTCTTGCGAGATTCCAAAGACCAGAGAGAGACTCCTCCGACGCGAAGATGCGCGCGCTCGCTCCCGCGCGTTCGCAGCCGCTCCCCGTCGATCCAAGCGCGCTCTCTTTCCTTCGCTCGACGTAGGCTGAATATAGAAATAAAAAAATCCCGTGCGACGACCATGAAGAAACACCGTGAAGCCTGTTCGTTTTCGCGGACAATCGCTCGACTGCGCTGGTAACTCGACTGCAGAGCGAAGCGACTACGCTTTTTTCCTTCGCTCGAATCGAAGTTGTTCCAAAACTAGCGAACCTACAGCCTCACGCAGATTCAATCGCGATTGCACGCGATATAACCGTAAATAGCCGACGCTCGCGCTCCGCCGAGGATGACGTGGTCCCCCTCGTGGGCTCGCAAAGGCGCCCGCAACGACGCGCGCGCGCGATCCACCGAGAATTCGATGACGGATCAGCCGGCGACGCGACAGGTGCGCGATGTCGAGCCGCGTCTCCTGGGCGCCGGGTCCTCCGTCGTAGCGTAGCGTCTTCGTTCGCGACGCCTCGCGGGATCGCCATTGTGCCGTTTCGAAGCCTTGGACGTCGTCGCGGCTTCGCCCACGCCGCGCGCTCGATGGCGCAACGACGCCGTCGCGGCCGCGGCCGGCGCAGCGACGCGACGAGCGAGAGCACGCTCGATCGCTTGTCCATTCGCATGCGGGCATTTGTTTAGTTTCTGCCATTTCTCACGCCCGTCAAATCGCACGCAACGCAACGCTCTCTTCGCGCCGCACGCGGCGGCATTAATCCGATGCTCATTAATACGGCACGGTTATGAGTATTCCGCAAGCGCAGCTCGCAGCGCGCCGGCACAGATCGACGTCGACCCACGCGCAACCTTTCCCGAGGAGATCCGCATTGCCCCGGCGGCGCGGCGCGGCGCGGCGCGGCGCGGCGGCGGTTCGCACGCGCCGAAAAAAAGAAAGTAGAAGCCGTTCGCACGACGCGAGGTGCGAGGCCGCCTTCCACGAGAGACTCTCCGCGGCTGCTGCCTTCCGCTCCCGTTTTTCTTTTTTTTTTTCCCTCCTTCTCTAGCGTCAACGAGCGTCCCGAAAGCAAAGCTCCGTTGAAAGTGGCCCGCGACAACGCGCGACAACGGCCGTCTATAAATGACAAACGTCGCCGCGCGAGATCCCGACGAGAGATATCCTCTACGACGCTCTCGTCTCTATTGCGAGACCGGACGTTGAACGTTGAATAACAATAATAATAGGTTCGCCGCGGGTCGCGATAGCAATTGTGCGAGAAGCGGCCGCCTTCGGGCGGACGGCTCACTACTCATCACGCTGACACGTTCGAATTTCCAGGCGGCACTATGCAGACCGAGGAAGTCGTGCCGCGCGCGCAGTCTATTGGCATAGACAGTGGTCTCACCGACGGCGCCGGTCTGCAGCATCATTTGCATCATTCAGTGCACTTACGCTGCCCGTTACCTCCTCTAATCCACATGGCCGTGAAGCAGGAGCCGCAGGAGGAGGAAGAGCGAGGTCGCGACGCGAGCACGCTCAGGTGAGTCGCCGCGCGATTCGAGCGTTTCACGCCGAGCCGAGACCCTCGCTCTCGTTCTCGTTCACGGGATCGACGATCCCGTCAAGCCCGTCAAGCCCGTCAAGCAGTGATACCGCGGCTGCTTTCAACCCCCCGTTAGTCGCAACAGCCAGGACGTAAACGCGCGTCCAGGCGCACAACGTGTTGCCGCGCGAGCGCCTCCGCGGCTCGCTTATCCGTTTTAACACCGCGTTTCTCGATTTGTTCTTGTCTTTTTCTCCGTATTTGACCCCGCCTGGTTCATCAGCTGAGCGCTAACGAGAGAAAAATTGCGGGCGCAAGAAGCGGCGGATAATCGGAGTGTCATGGATGTGTTTAGCCATTCATGGCTACGAAAAATAATGCGACTGACGGAGGGCTGTCAACAGATCCAATGAATCGACGACGACACGTTAAATCGCCTCGGTCGGGTGTTGCGCGCATTGATCCCACTTTAACCCCGCGTCTCTGAACCGAGTCTGATCGCGAGCCGCTTGCTTCGCGAGCGCCGGTGAACGAGAGTTCTCTTGTGATTTCGCCAGCTCGCAAGTGGATGCAAGCAACGCCGCGGTCTCGGTGGACAGCAAGCACGGACAGCAGGTGGCTCATCATCAGATCCAAGGCCTGGCAGAGAACTCCACGCTGACCGTTCCAGACCCCGCTGGTCGAGGACGACCCAGGTGATTCGACTGGTCTCTCTTCTACGCGCGACGACTTGGCCGTAGTTAAATGGAGCGGTACAAGCGAGATGCACGAGCGTGTCTCGCAGCGTCTTACATTGTCACGTCCGTCCGCATCAGCGCGGTCCGCGTTAACGACTCGGTTCTCTCCCTCCCTCTCTCTCTCTCTCTCTCTCTCTCTCTGCCGTATTTTGCTTGTTCTTTCTTTGGATTCTTCTTGTCGCGTCGCTAACGACGTCTTTAACGTAAAACCGGCAGTGGCCAGGAAAGTGCTTTAAATGGCCGTCGGCAAGAAAGACAGGCGCCGGGAAACTGGTTCGTGCCGAGCGAGTCTTCTAAAGTCGCGGACGCGCGCTCGCGCTCGAGCTGAGACGCGCGACGTGGAAAAAGTATTCGCGGATGTAGCGTCAGTGAAACGCGCCGCGAGCAAGAGAGTCGATCACCGTTATTATTGAATTTCATTAAACTGACCGGCTGGTCGACTAGAGACGCGATGGAGGAGGAGGAGGAGGAGGAGAAGAAGAAGAAGAAGAAGCGCGCGAGAGACACGCTCTCTGCATACGTGCGAAGGCGTCGCTATAAAGCACCGTTAAGGTGTGGTTCGGAATGCAGTCGCCGAGCAAATGCGCGTTAATGAAGGAGCGATATCAATTGCTCTACGAGCGCGAGCCACTTTGAATGCCTTTCTTCCCGCGAGAGGTTGATCCTCTCGGGCTCGTAAGATCACACGCACGATTTGCTTTCGACTCCCCCCGTCGCTTTCGGGTGTCCGCGACGCGAAGCACGAACGGGAAATGACGGATATTACGGATGCGGTTTTCTTTCTTCTCGCTCGTGATCCGACATTCCTCGGTCCTAGGATCCATTTCGTCACCTTCGATCAACTTGACTGACCGATTAAGTGTCAATTTCGTGACTGGTCAGCTCTGGTAAGTTCTGCTCAACGGCAAAACACGGTCGATTTCAATGGAATAATCGGCTGACCAAGTTGATCGAAGGTGACCAAGTGAGCCCTTTGCAGTTTCGCTAGATCTCTTCGGATCTCGTCGTCGTGAGTATTCGAGTCGGAGTTTTGGCTCGACAAGTACTGTCGAATTTGCTAATGGAACTTCGAGGTAAAACGCCAACAGACTGTTGTCCCACCTTGATGCCACAAATGGTTACGCTCTCCATATTGAGACTTGTGCGTGACGAAGTATTTATTTATTCAAGAATTATCCGATATTTGATTATCGCAAGATTCCACTCTTGCACTTCATCTTTACTTTTGAATTCCAATTCAACTTGAAGATATTAATTGCACAACTTGTGTGCTCGACTGCAAGTATGCGCGATAAGCAAATATTAAATAATTACTGTGGCTGAATAATCAGGGTATTAGTTATTTCTTCCTGACCCTTGGAAACTTCAACGAGCTTTGGATATTTCACAGGCCTCAGAAGAGAAAGGAGTTGTAAGGCTCTGAAGGAAGCGGTGTTGCGTAAACATTCGTAAGGTTTTAAATGTAGATTCGATATAATAACAAGGCTACAACGGGAATGAAAGAAAAAAAAAAAAAACGGGCGTTGGTAGACTCAAGGTGAAGCTCGCGTCGCAAGGAGCATTGTCAGAGAGACAAATATCAACACTCGTGATACTTGGGCCGGTATATTCGTAGTTGTGAATTATTTAAGATTCTTGATCGGAAGCATGATTAATTGCAGATTCGTTCTCGCGCGGACTACTGCTGCTCGGTTAATTGGATCGATATCTCTTATTGTACGAAATGGATTTTACGTCAGTTTCAGTTACATCGATCGGTTCTTTAATCGACAGAGTCAAGGAATGATCGAAGGTTCCTAAAGTTGTAATTATTTATCCAGCAATGAGAGACGAACCATGTGAATGACGGCTTTAGATTCTAAATTTCGACTGGGATAACTTTTTATCCTCAATAAATCGCGTCGCGCGTCCGTTCAAGTGCTTCCTGAGCAATGACAAATAATTCAACGTACCTGGAAATATCGCTGCCCACATCCTGACGTCCTGGCTTCTCCCGCATCCTGTCGTTTCGTAGCACGAGACACTCATCGAGGTATTGACACTCGCGCGGACGGACGATTCCGACTGGAAGAAAAACGCGCGATGCCCGATTAGAAAATATTTCAAGAATCAACGAAAAACTTCAACAACCCGACGGACGTTGTAAGCTTTCGATAAACTCGTAAAGAGAGACACACGTGTACCGCGTCGCGGTGCGCGCGTCACTCGTAGGCTCAGTGATCCGGTTGCAAATAAATACTCGAGTATCAAAACAATTGATGTCCTTGAAAAGGATAGAGTCACTTCAATCGCAATCGCACCGTTGTCGCTCGCCACGCAATGACGAGCTACATATACGGTGGCTGAGAAATCACAACCAAAGCTCTTGAAATATTCCGAGGTCCTTCGAGGTAGTGAAATTGTCGGATTCAGGATTCTATCAGGATCAGGATTACCCGCGCGATAAAGAACCGTGTAACCATTCGTAGCATCAAAATACAATCTAAAGTTATACTTTGAGACTTCTCTCGGAGATGCTTTCTCCGATGCTCGAAGGGCTCTCGAGATTGTTCCTTCAAGTTCGACAAGTCAAGTTGGACCAGAGTTAACGTAGAAACCGAATTCAAGCGGGGTGTCACCTCGAGTTACAACGGTCTCGTGTATTCCAGCCGCGGGCGCAGGAAATCGCGATGGAAACTCAAGTTCCACCACCAGGCGCTACCGCCGGAATACCTGGACCACTACGAGGCGTCGCTCGCCCAGGAGAACCTCAACTCGTCGTCGCCACCGCGCGTAATCGAGCCAACGGCGCCGAGTCCAGCGCCGACGAGCTCGACGTCCACCCCGAGCCCCATCGCTGACGTGCACGGTTGGCTGCAGCGGATCGCGGCGATGCAGCAGGAACTCTGCCCTCAGCTCAACACCTTGCCGCAATGCCCGACGACCTTCGGCCACCAGGTCCAAGCGGCCGCCAGGAGATCCGTCATCACCTCCGCGTCCTCGCAGGCCTACAACCACGCGCCTTATCCCAACCACCAGCAGCAGGCGCAGACGCAGACGCAGACGCCCAGCAGCAGGCCACCGATGAAGTATTCCGATCTGCCGTACATGGGCGAGATCACGCTGGACAACAGCAAGCCCAGACGCGGACGGAAGCCGAAGAAGGCTGACATTTGTCATCTGATTTACAAGAACTACGGCACGATATTGCCGGGCACACCGGGTCACGAGGAGAAGAACCTGTCGCCGCAGAACAAGCAAGACCCTCGGGACCGCGTGTCGCCGCAAGTACCTTTCCAAAGGAGCGACGTGCAGAACAGAATCAGCAGCCTGCTGGAGAAGCGGCTGACTCAAGAGACCAGACGGAGCTTTGGTCAGCCGGAAAACGCGAGGGAGCAGGACCAGCCGCTGAACCTCTGCATCAGAGACCTGAATCAGCTGAAGATACGTCTGCTGAGGAAGCACGGCAACGTGTACGAGTCGGGCCAAGTGAAGAGTGAGACGTCGAGCGACGGCGAGGAGGTGGAGTGCCTGAGCGCCGGCGGCTTCACGTCGGAGCCGGCTCACCGGCCGAGCAACATGGTCAATCACAACAACAACGTCATCGACCCGATGCTAGGCCCCAACTCCGGCTTCGTGTACTGGCCGAACGCCGGCGTGTTCCTTCATCCGATGGCGCTGCAGTCGCAGCTCTTGTACTACCAGAAGGTAGCGCAGGCTGACAAGTGTCCGTCGCGACCTCCGCTGCCAGCGGAGCAACCGCCGCAGCGGGAGCAGAAGATCGTGCCCAAGTCGATCTACTCGATGATGGAGACGAAGAGCGGGCAACTTCCGGTGCCGGCTCCGCTGCTGCTGCCGCCGCCGCCGCAGACCACGGCAGCGTCGACGAACGCGCCGCCGTCGCCGAGACCGAAGAGGAACGCGCCTCTGAGCCAACATCAAGGTCAGCAGCCGACCAAGCGGAAGCGCTCCGCCATATTCATACCGCCCATGCCGACCGAGAACAACAACCCGGCTACGGAGGTGAGCATATGCAAGTTCAAGTTCACCGGCGGCGCGAAGCCGAGCCTGCAGGAGAAGAAGAGCCTCTCCGTGGACTCGGGCGGCAACTTCCGCTACTACAGCGGCACCGGCGACAAGAGTATGCGCGGCTACGAGTTCTTCCCGCGGGAAGCCTTGCAGCAGCCGGCCGGCCAATCGGGAGCCTCCTCGGCAGCCGGGGCCTTCCTGAGCGCCGCCGGCGAAAGGATCATCCAGCCGCCGACGGCGTGTCAGAGGAACGTCGGCCAGGACGACGGCCGGCGCAAGAGGAAGACCCGGAAATCCCTGCAACGCGAGAAACTGGAGCAGACCTTCAAGGAGAAGGGCTTCCTCATACAGACGCAGCAGCTGGAGTCGGCGGAGGGTGCCACTTACTGCAAGTTCCGGCAGCTCCGGAAGTTCACCAGGTACCTGTTCAGGAGCTGGAAGGACTATCTACCCGGCAACGTGCGCGAGCTGAGCGGAGGTTGCGGCGGCGGCGGCGGCAATGGCGGTGGTGGCAACGGCGGCGGCGGCGGCGGCGGCGGCGGCGGCGGCTGCAGCGGTGGTGGTGGTAGTGGTGGTGGTGAAGGAGGCGGCGCCGCGACCGATGGCGACGTGACCGACGTCGACGTCGACAACGGCGCCGTTCTCGTTCACTCGCCGGTTCCTCCCGCCAATCTGCTGGATGTGCCCAACAGCTTCGTCGAGGAACACTGCCGGACACTGCCGCTCACGTGAGATCGTGCGACGGAGGTCATAGGGCGCGGTGCGACACCGACTTCTCGCCGACGCTTCGGGAAAATCCCGGGGGCTTCTCTCGGGGTCGGCTCCGGGCTCGATGAAACGTCGAACGATCGCGGCAATTGTCCCTCGCGCGTTCCGCCAATTATCTCAAGCCTGATCGTCAGCATCGCGCCATGACGCGCGTCACGACGACGATGCAGACTCGAGCGTAGCTCAGTGCCAAAGATGAGAGACTGGAATGTTGTACATAAAGTCGCCCGATGGGGAACGGATCAACCAAAGAGGTGGTTTCGCGCTCTCGCCGTGCTGGGACTGGGGAGATATCCGCCGTTGGGGATTTCGGCGGGGGGGAGGGGGTGTGCAATGCATTTTCCAGGATGGTGTGCAGAGTGAGACTCGCGGCTACGTGCCTACGTCGCTACGTCATATTTTTCTAAGCGAATCGTTGAGGAGGAGAACGAGAATGTCGTCTAACGAAGTCTAGTCTTATTTATACTCTTGTTAAATCGTAAACACGTGCTTTCTCGTCGTTTTTACACGGATATTTATGCCGCTGCGCGCGCTGTGCGCGCAGCGGCAGCAGCGGAGCGACTCCGATAATATCGCGGGTGCGGCGAAGTTTGTAACGCGACGATCGAGATGACTGTCGCTCGGATCGAAATCACGCGCCACTCCGATTCGTTTCTTTACACCGCACACGGACCAAATATTTGAACAGCTGGTCCATATCGAGAGACGAGAGCCTCGCGAGAGAGGCGAGATAATGCGTCGCGGGCACAATTGTCGCGTCCGCCGCCTGGGCCGAGTTGTTCGATCGAGATTTGAAAGCGGTATAACGCGGCAACGCCAGCTTCATTCGTCGCAGGCGTCGCGGGCGAGAGGAGCGGGGAGGGGAGAAGGAGAAACAGCGCACCCTTCACGGGTTAATCTTTTCACGGAATTCCATTTTCACGGATAAACGCAGCGATAACCTTGCGCTCTCGTGCAAATCTCGACAAATCGGGACTCGGAATTTTCAATTTGGTATGATATCCTCCACGAGAGGATTCATTGGAATTATAGAGTTCCCGTTGGAGTCATACCGCTTTCAATTCCCCGCTCCGCAGTGCGGAAAGACGCGATTTTCTCGTCGCGGTCGCGCACCGGAAGCTCTCGGCCGAGCGGAGAACAGACGCGAAAGTCTCGGAACCGTCCCGCGGCGATCGTCCGCGCCATTGTCCTCTCTCGTCCGCGAGCGCGGCGACATGTAAAATTATTTTATACGTATGTGCTCATTGTAACGAGATCAATCCCTATAGTCTGTAATAATAAAACCAATTGTTATCGACGCGGCGCTCGACTGCTTCGCCGACGATCCCTCGCAAAGCGATCTGCCGACCGGTCGAGCCGCGGACGCTCCTCGAAGGAATGTTGTCCGCGCGCGAGATCGTTTGTTCGCGTGAAACTCGAGTGACGCGATCGTTCAAGTGCGATAATCGCGATAACGCGAGTGACTCGCTTCCATCGCGAAGTCACTCGACACAGCGCGCGTCCCACTCAAGCGACATCCCATTCCAATTAGCGCAAGTCGCAGGTCCCTGGCGAGTCGCGCTGGATCATGAAGAGTTCGCGCGACGATCATCCTTTGAAGGAAAGGACGCGCCGTCGAGATGAGATTCAGCGCGCGCGCAACATGGATTTATGAGCGATCCGGCTGAGCGCGCCGAGAAACGCGGCCCATTAACGAGTCCCTCCTCCCCTCCCCCCTCCCCGCTCGTGAATATTACATCCGCGGCTTTTTTCGCCGAAATCGCGTCTCATTTAAAAAGCCGCCTTACCTGAAGAATCCTGATTAAACCCTTTAAGGGTTCCTCCTCTCGTATTGGTTTCATTGATGCGACTCTAGCGACGGGACGTTCCGATCGCCGATCACGTCCGTGAGTCCTGCGGACACACGCAGGTAATCACGCGCGCGCGAGCGGAGGCACACAATCGCGCAGAGGCCGGTGTGCACACACGGTGTGCTGCGAAACACGCGCGACCGCAGGATCATGTGACGAATCGTCAGAGTCAGAGCGCTTCCAGCGGCACGTGGACTTGTCTGCCCGCGAGGAAATGCCGGAGGGAACGTCACGTCGACGTTTCCTCGTACTTCGACGGTACTCCCCGACAATGTTCCCGTCTCGGAACTACGAAACGCAGCTCGCGAGTTTACGGACACCCCGTATACATACACCCAGAGCCACCCAACACACACACACACACACACACACACACACGCTCGCTCGAGTCGCGCGCGACGTGCGTGCACAGCTCCACCACCAGTTAGTCTCTCCGGAGCGCGTACAGCCAGCCAGCCATTCATGCATACGGCCATTCATATGTCGGGCCCGGCTTACCTTGAAGGCTTTTTATCATCGGTCCTTGTGTCCGTGCGCGCGCACACACACACACACACACACACACACACATACACACACGTACACGTGGGCGCGTGAAAACGGAAAATTATTCGCGTCCTTCGCGGAGGAGAGACGATTGTCACGCATGGTTAGGAGTTGAAGATTCAGCGTCTCGGAAGCAAGGAGAAAGAGCGAGAGAGAGAGAGAGAGATTATTTGTCTTGCAGCGTGGTCGCAAAAATACTTCCTCGTCGACGCCCAACGACGCGTCACAGATGAGAAAGCTGTCGTCGTCCGTCGAGAAGAGCGTCTCGTGGCAAGGCGAGCGCATTTCGCGTTAGTAAAACAAGAAGAAAGGTAAGAAAGGAGAAAACAGAATAGATTGACCGAGAGAGGAAGAGAGAGAGAGAGAGAGAGACTCGCGCGCGACCGAGGTGCCCCTATCGCTCGCTCGATCCCGAGAGCGTTTTACAATCGTCACCACGAAGAGAGAACGAGGGACGTTCGCCGTTGTCCTCGTCGTCATCGCCGTTCGTCGGCTGCCGTTTGGAGGAGCCGGCCACAATGGCTGCAGGTTTCCTAATACGGGCACGGCGGCGCGAAATGCACGGCGGAAAAAAGAGGAATTTTGGCAAGGCGCGAGGGGAGGAGGCCTGGGAAGGAGCCGACGCGACGCGCGTTAGATGTGTGTTCGGTGCAAAAATTTAATAACCGCGCACACACGTCCGCGGCCGAAGGAGCGCGTCTCCTCTTCCTCGTGGCCGGCTGGTAGGAGGAGCGAGCAATGAGACATCTCCCGCTCTCTCTCTCTCTCTCTCTCTCTCTTTCTCGCGCGCGCAGGCAGCCTCGTGTAGGCACTGTAACCTGTTCGCGTTTATGAAAATATAGAGAAACCGTTGCGGCAGCGAGACTTTGTCTTTACGCTGCACGCGAGAACGGCGAACGTGGAACGTAGCGCGCCGCTAGATTCTCCGAGAAGGCGCAGGGAGACAGCGGGAGAGAGGAGATTTTTCAGAGGCCCGATATCTAACGTCGCCGGATATTTTCGACTCGGTCAATTGCAGCCGCGCGCGTGTCTAATGTCGCGACCATTTCAATCGAGAGCCTCGCATCGAATTTCCGATTTTTTGCCCCTGCGTGTGTGTGTGTGTGTGTGTGTGCCTACGCGCTATCTCCTCTACACGCGACTGCAAGTTTCCTAATATAGCCTCGGCATATGCTTCGATGAAAAAACGACGATGTTGTTAACCACCGAGCGCCCCCCGGCAAACTGGTTGCCATCTCGAATCCGGAAAAGACCGCCGGACTACGTGTGTAATGTTAAAATCGCGAATCCGCGACGCTGACAGCCTGCGGGGAAGACGCTAATAATCGTAACAACGACGAGAGTGGATCCACTCGCACGTTAGAACTTGATACCCGAGGCTGTTCCTCGGGTGGGGAAACGAACAGAGTCGATGCGTTACACTCGATAGACTGTGGACTGCGATGAATCTCAGAATACCGTCGACGGTGTCAATCGAGAAGCGGAGAGACGCGCGTCGAGTTCTCTCTTATTAATCGCACATCGCATCCGAGTCTCTCTGCTGCACGCACGGCGGGATGAAACACGCTCGAAGCTGCGAAGCGCGAGATAAGCGGAACAGCGTCGAAGAGGGTCCTCAACGTGTTCAGGGGAGCCAGGGCTGAAGCGAGGGAAGCGACGAGAAATCGCGGTGGTCTACGGACAGGTTCGTCCGTGAAAAACTTCAATTTGTCTCGCGCGAGATTTTATCGCGGCCGGAATTTATCTGTCGGCGCGAAAATTGCATCGCGGCGAGGAGAATTTCGTACGCAAGGGGACGAATAAAACCGACGATCTAACATTTGCAAGTGTAATTGCAAGATTAGTCTTCCCCCGCATAAAATCCCCTGAATCGATTACGAGTAATCGCGCGCGCGCGCGCACGCAGGATAATTGAGCCCGTAACGGCATTCCCCTTCGTTCGTTGCCTCCTGCTCGACGCGGGCAGGAGAGCGGCAACCGTTCGTTCATGGGTTCGATTTTGCGCAAGAACGACTTCATGAATGAACCGCGACGCGCACGGCAAAACGCGCTCTCCTTCTTTCTCGTCCCGTCCGCCTCTCTCGCTGGTAGCCGGCACAATGCAGACGGAATACCCGATTGTTTCTAGGCAGAGCCCCTCCAGCGTCCGCTCCAGCGTCCGAGATCAGAAAGAGACGCCACCGGAAATCATCATTCTCGGCGGGAGTTCTAATCAAAAGAAAACCGGAATACCGCGCGCCGTCGTCCGCCGCGCGCGGACTCGCAATGAGAGAAGCTGAGGACGCCCGTGTTGGCGTGTGTGCGTCAAGTATGTTAACGCGCTCGGTATGTTGGCGAGCTTAATCACGCCGCTAAAAGGTGTCCCCCGAAATCATCGAACGCTCTCTGTCTCTGTCTCTCTCTCTCTCTCTCTCTCTCTCTCTCTCTGTTTATAAATTGATCGAAATTCGCAATTAATTTCTGATCAGAGTATATCAATTTATAAGGTTCGTGTCATTAATCGGAAAAGTAGCAATTCGACTAAAGGGAAGACCAGTCCGTGATCGCGTACATAATAATGGCGGACAATCCGTCTTTATCGGTAACGAAGATATTCGAAGAAATTGAGGTTAAGGGAGTCGCGCGAGAGAGAAGTAAAAAAAAAAGTAATCTCGTGCCTGAAATTGAGAATTATCCGGAGAGAGGGGTATATCGGGGAAAAGAAAGGAGGATAGATGCGCGGTGTATCCGAAGGACAACAGCCCTCCGAGCGGACGAGCTGCCAGCAAACATTCGGTATAAGGATATATCGCGAGTCTCACCGCTCGATACGTTCGTCGTAGTGTCGTCGCTCGGCACGTACACCAGCTGGTCCAGCTTCTTGTCCATCGTCGACAGCTGCGACGAAAACGAAAAATCCGAATCGGAATGGGCGAGAGAGCAAGAACCTCGCGGGCGGGAGGGCGACACGGCGGCGCATCGGACGGAAGGACGAAGGACGAAGGAGAGGGAATCGCACGCGGAGAGAGATCGCGAGCGCACGGCCGACTAACCGGATGTTAGACGCAAGAAGCGCATAACTATCGCTCGCGAGAAATGAACGACATTGAGGGGGAGAGAGAGAATCGACGTCCTAATTACAAAGTATAAGCTGAAAAAGGGAGCATCGACTTCCGCTCGCCGACCATGTCTTGAGAACGTTTGACGGTGCGTTCGGCCGATTTTAAATCTCTCCGCGCAGCCATCTTTAATCTAATAGTATCTAATAGGTTATTATTGACAACATTCAGCTGCACTCACCCCGACGTTGAGACGTTCCTTCTTGAAGACTCGAAGGGCCGTTCGTCCGCTGCCGATCCGTATTGCAGGATTCTGTTTGTTAGTTAGAAACTGTGCCGGCTCGTAGCACAAAAAGTCTTTGAAAGCACAACCGAACTTTGAAACTACAACCGAACCTCAGTCCAACTTCGTTCAAAAGCGACTAACGGCCTACCTAGCGTTACCTAGCGGTGCTGTGAGGAAAAAACTGAAGCTTCGAAACGCAGTTGGCGAGCTGCCTGGCGCCACTTAGCGGCATCCTGAAGAAACTCCTTATGCCTCAAGGGGTTTAAATCTCGGCTAAGTAGAGTTTGAATCTTGGTTAAAATTGGTCTGTTATAATTAAAGAGATTCGTTACCCATTTCCGATTCTAACATTCCCATCGTGCGCGACGTGACGATCGTCTTTAATAATAATAATAAATAATAAATAATAAATAATAAGTAATAAAAAAAATAAATAATAGATAATAATAAATTTAATAATAATAAATTGATGTATCAGACGAGTCTCTTATTTTCGACGGCATATTTTTAGACGGCAAATTAGATAACTTTTTTTATTTTCAAACGGTCAAACAACTTTCGCGAAAAGTATGATCCAATGATCTTGTTCAATTTTTTATATAACATCGAAAATAACGGGGATATATACATTGTATAAATGTAATGCTATTATATAATTGTAACTATTGTAGAATTAATCAATTATATTACACACTATCGTATATCGTAAGATGGAAATTGTGTGTGTACGCGAATATGTGATATTGCTATCGAATAAAATGTTATAAATATGTATTGAAATTGCACGATATACTATCTTCTATATTCTCCTGCGTCCGTTCCACTTAATTATTATCTCAATTTTATCTTAGCTGCGTCCTTCAAGTTGTCCGTTCCAGTTGTAAAGTTATAATCGCTTCTAACGTTCGTTTTTCTGATCGTCGCTTTAAAGATAACTGCAGGTTATCAAAAAATATGTACATAATTCAGTGCACGCATTACACACCGCTCGGTGCACTCGCCATTTTCGCCACTGCATGTCGTTCAGCAAATTACTGCGTATTTTCGCAAGTGCTCGCGCGATATCTTGAATGCAGCGCAACTTTTATACATCTAGTATATACGTAAGATGACAGATTAGTCCTAGACATCTTTGAAGAAAGGAAAACGATGTCCCGCTTGAAAAGTCACACGGTTACATCATCCAGAGAAGCAAACGCAACTCCCGCAAAAAGAGATTAAAATGAAGTTTTAATACTTCATATGATGGCAAATACAAGTTCTTTATCATTATTTTCTTCGTCTACCACCTTTCATCATCCTATTTGCTACCGGCAATTGAACTGGACAAATGTTGTTCGACGAAATGTTTTCACAGATGCCGAACTGGGTTTATAAGCCATCGTTCTTCGACACGCTGCATCACAGTTTCGACCTGCAGTCTCCAACACCAGAGCACTGCTGGAAGCTAGTTTGAAGCAGTATGAAAATTTTGTCAATCTTCGCCATCACAGTAGCCCTTGCGGGCTACGTGTCCTGCAGGCCAGGAGGCTTACTGGTGAGTAAAATCTTCGCTCCCTTGAAATCTCTCACGAAAAGAAAAGAATGTACCTGCCACCGTTGCTTCATTCACCCTACGATATCGATCGTATCTTACATTTTCCACCTGATCTGATTTTACTAATTGCAAACGCGTCTCTTTCTTCATGTTTAACTCGAATGTTCAAGTAATTGACTTTCTTATTTCAATTTTTAGGGTGATTTACTTGGTAAAGATGGTTTACTTGGTGAACATGGTTTACTTGATGATATCCTCGATGGCGGCGGTGAACATTATACCAAAGGCGGCACAGGCGGCATAGGCGGCGTTGGCGGTTTAGGCGGTTTAGGCGGTTTAGGCGGTTTAGGCGGTTTAGGCGGGGGAAGCGGTAACGGCGGCAACGGCGGCAACGGAGGCAACGGTGGCAACGGCGGCAATGGCGGCGACGGCGGCAACGGCGGCTACGGCGGCGGCTACCACAACGGCGGCGGCGGCGGCTACCACGACGGCGGCGGCGGCGGCGGCGGCAATCACTTAGCCAAGATACTCGTTTTGTAAAGCAATTTCATCAGCCGATACGAAGAAAATAAGAAATCACCAGCTTAAATTTTTATCAGGCCGATATTCAGATAAAACGGAGGCAGACGCTCAAAGACAAATATATAATCATCGGAAGGATCCTCTCTTTCGACAAACATCATAGACACAATGTAAAACAGTCCTGAAGCGGGACAACATTCTGTGCTTGTCTATAAGAGATGTAATTACCTGCATCTCCAGCGCCAGACGCTGCGATTGGATCACTGCTAGCTTATAGCTATCCGTATTTAATCTGATTTAGCGAAATGAAAGTGAAAATTTCGAGAGAATATACCACGTAAAGCGGACTACCATTGTAATCGCGCATACCCTATACTGAGTATCTATATCTGTATATTCATATATCAGACAATAAAATTTTCTAACATTTTTCTAACGTTAATTCGTCAGCAATTATTGCATTATCATTTACACAGCATTACCGTTTAATTCCTATTTCTCGCTGGAGCGAATGCTCGATACCTGCGAGGGGACGAGAAGCGGGGGGCGTAAAGCAACAACAAAGAGATATCAAGAGAATAGTAGATATGGTATATTCAACTTTAACTAATATTCGATAATAATAATAATTATTATTATATATGTATATATGTATATATTCTTATACTTATAATTGCGTATAGATAATGTCGCCGCAAATGTACAATATTTGACAGGGGTTGGTTATTACGCATGATTCTTTTTTTTTAATATTACCAGTATATCTCTATATGTATGTGTGTATGTGTGTATATATGTGTGTGTATGCATTGTGTGTTGTGTGTGTGTGTGTGTGTGTGTGTGTGTGTGTGTGTGTGTGTGTGTGTGTGTGTGTGTGTGTGTGTGTGTGTGTGTGTGTGTGCGTGTCTTGTATCTCTATCATAAATATGTACAAACACATACAGTCGTACAAATCTCCATACGCTCATGTATGCGTGTGCACATACACGTGTACAATGTGTGACACGTTTGGTCCATCCGTATATCCGTATATATATGTCGTCCGATAAATTCGTTCCGTCCCGTCCTAAATACGCGTCTATACCAGTGCATCTCTAATGCACATTCTGTGTGTGTGTGTCGCGCCCGCCGACGTTACAGTTCATGGATGGACCACCGGGATGTACGGTTGCAAGCTCGCCTAAATCTATAATAATGTCGTAGACCCTTGAGAGCGCACTACTAACGTTCATAATTGGAAGGACACTTGCAAAACATCTTTGCCACGGAAAGTCGTATGCGTGTATCGCCAGAACAATTACCGTTGTCCGTCGTCGTTGCGCTGCGCGCGCGCGCGTCGGTGCTCTCGGCGCCGCGTAGTCTCGTCTCGAAACGACGTGTTTTGCTCTCTCGACCTCGACAGGAAAGCGAAAGTACATAGCTTTGTAAATGAAACTAACGGTCTTATGACGATAAGGAACACGACTGTGCGAGTGAAACGACATCTTTTCTTTCCTTTTTCTGCCTTTCTCCTGTTTTTTTTGTTCTCTTCGAGTCGAGAAGCGCGTGCTCGTTAATTCGGAAAAGTAAAAAGGAAGAAACGAAATAGAAACGACCACGAGCGTATCGAGCGACGCGCATATTAGCGATCGACGGACTTGAGAAAATGTACACCGTGAGAAACAAAAGTATGCGACAACATATTCCCTCGTTCGTGTTACGATTGAGCGACATTATTCCTGCAGGATAATTCCTCGTGATCACATTCGCACGAGCTAGCGATAGTAATCAGTAAACCTATGTTAATCCGTATTGCACTTGTTAGTACGTTAAGTCGTATATACAGAGAGAAAAAGAGAGAGAGACAGAGACAGAGAGAGAGAGAGAGAGAGAGAGAGAGAGAGAGACAAAGAGAATAGACAAGGCAAGGGAAAAGAGAAGATAAAGAAAGAGAGACGAGCGTGTTCGTAAGAATTAATCCAATGATCCTGCTATCGATTTTCTTCGCACATTCGTCGCTTGTCAGCGACGTTGAACGTCTGTCCTCGTTTCGACTATTTTACAACGCACCTTGTGCAATCGACTCAAACAAAGTCTCAGAAATCGAGCGATATGTAACGTCAAATGTGTGTGCGCGAGAGGTGGGAACAATTCTGCCGTAGCTTGAAACTCCTACGAGTATTTACGGCGATTGTGAGTCGCGCTGTGTGTATTCGCGCTTTTATTTACAAAGCTCAACCGCTACCTCGAGTAAACGAAAAACGACGGTATCGTTGTCGTCGCCCGTCGGGAAAATACGAGCCGATTAACTATTCTACGCGGCGCGACAAATGATTATCCTCGCCGTCGTGCATTGTTTCCTTCGACGATAATAGAATCCTTACTGACAGCAGTGGAGTGAGAGAGGGAGAGGGGAAAAGAGAAAGAGAGAGAGAGAGAGAGAGAGAGAGAGAGAGAGAGAGAGAGAGAGAGAGAGAGAGAGAAAGGTCACGGTAAGGCGAGGATCTCGTAAGCTCTCCCACCGCGGAGGCTCCACCGAGATCGGAAAAACGTCCTCAAGTGGTTATTGTTTGCTTTATCAACGAGACAGAGTGTAGAGGCAACTACGGTGATAAGAATCGAATTATACGAGTATTACGTCCCTTGTCGTCGAGGACGGTCACGTCGAGACGACGCTCCCCCCCGACCGGAGGTCCCGCTGCCCGCGTTTTATTTTTCTCAATTGCTTTCGTAAATTGCGTCCGCGCGAGAGAGACAGTTCCGTTGAGTTTACAGTAGAGAAGAGGGAGACACATACACACATATTGAGCGATCTCTCCGACTCGCCGCAGGTGCAACGAATATCAAGTGGAAATCGCGAGTTTCCTTTCGCCTTGCGTCGGCGTATTGCAAGAGAGACGACGAGACGGCTCTCGTACGCGCTACGTACGTACGTATACGTGCACACTGCTGACAAAAACGACTACATTAGATCGTCCATCGTTAGAGACCTTCGGCAAAATCGTCAGGTCTCCGTGATTCGCGAAAATGTGTAGAAAACGTTCCCGTCTGTAAGGTTGACAGCTGATTTCCCAAGTGAAATCGCGTCTTCGTCTAAGACACACAGCTTAGTCTTATACGACATAAAAAAGTCGAGTCGACAGAGAGAGAGAGAGAGAGAGAGAGAGAGAGAGAGAGAGAGGGAGGGAGAGAGAGAGAGAGAGAGAGAGAGAGAGAGATCATCCAAAAATATCGATTGCAAACTTTGTTCGTCCTCGTCTCTGTACAAACTAAGAGTTGATTGTTGCGCAGAGGATGGTTGTTACACACCCTGGTTGTGTATCGTTTGGTCTGTCCTTTTCGATCGTTTTGGTCGTGCCAGCACGAGAAGTGGCAGCGCGGCGAAAGATGCGTGCGTAAGTGAGAGTAGGTAACGCGTTCTCATTAGTTATCGCGGTGCAAAGCCTCGAGACACTCGCGTTATCCTCGCGACGGCGAAGAGGAATCGCGGGGATTCCCTCTTCGCGAACGGGATACCTCGCACGCCTCGCTGTATCCCTCGCCTCCGGGCGATCCGCCCGACGAAGTACATCGCAAGTACACAACAAGTATTCCGTGTCTCGAAAGTGAGCGTATCCTAGGTCTCCCGTAATTACAGTAGTATATAACAGTAGTAATATTTTACAAATACTCGAGTCTCACACGTCCGTTATCACTATCTATCTGTATGTCGTCATGCATCTGAATCACAGAAAGGTAAAATCAAATTGTCATCTCGACGAGTGTTTGCGGCAAGTGTAGTTTCCTCGCGGCGCGTCGCACGCAGACGACACAACTTTCGTATTCGTTATATCGTTCTACGCTCGAGATTCTACGATCAAACTCCGCTAGCTGTCGCTTATTTCGCTAAAATAACGGTCTACGTATACACACGAAACTGCAAACTGCTAGCTGCCGAAAGCATGACCGCGCGCTACCGAGCTACGAATGATTATCATTCCTCACTTGTCTTATTTCTAATGTCGGCGTGATCGCGAGACAGATCTAGCTTAGTCAGAGCATAGGAAATTATTCGTAGTAAACTCGAAGGCTTGAAGGCGAAAAGCAACTTTGAACGTGCCCTCCCCAGTTTCTCGCGCGTTCACACGGAGTCCGATTAGCGTAGCGACACACGAGTGACGGGAGAATCTAGGAGAAGCTTTCGTCGGAGGATAGGAAATAGGGACAAACTGCGAATCTCACATATACCTGCTAAATCATTTCTGTTCTCAGCACGTACTGATGTATAGGCACATGTTTTGTGTGAGAGGAGGCGCGCTTTTCTAGAAAAAGGAGGAATTTCCGCGTCATCGAGTTGAGATCCACCGCGCGACAGGCCAAGAGTTAGAGACGAGATTTACAGGAATTAGCGACTCTACCGTTATCCTTATTGCGCTGTATCGACTAAATTAGATTAGCCCGTCGGATGCCGGCGATAAGAGAGTATATCGACGCCGTGCCGACCTAAATTAGAGCGGAGGTATTTGAAGTTTTGCGAGGGAGATGGGGGGAGGAAAGAGCGAGCGAGCGAGCGAGAGAGAGAGGGAGGGAGGGGGAGGGGGAGGGAGAGGGAGAAGGAGAGGGAGAGGAGAGAGACAGGGAGGCAACCGTGTGAGTAATTTCACGGATGCGGTTTTCTAATTTCCCCGGTTAAAGTAGATTGCGTGTTATCACATTCTAAGCTGTGAGTAGCGAACCTCCCGTCCGATTTGATTCTAACTTCGTTACTAGCGTCTCGATGCTGATATATACACGTGTTAATTAAATTAGTTGCTATATCGTAAAGAAAGAGAGCTATATACCGTTGTATATGTATAACATTTCTAAATTTTCGCTCTAAGTGTCTATGTGTGTGTGTGTGTGTGTGTGTGTGTGTATGTGTGTGTGTCTGTGTGTGTTTGTGTGTGTGTGTGTGATCTCTAAGTATGCATATAGCACCGTATGTAAATACCTTCCACAATCTGATTGCGCGAGTGCATGTATATTATAATGAATGTATATGCGTGTTTAATGATAAAAATTATATTACACATTTTTTTCGGCCGATTCACGAACACTACTTGCATTTGAGATCTTTTACAAGAGTATTTTGTGGTCGCTATAGCATAAGAGATACTTTACCATATCTACATTATATATTCTTTCTACACGCGATATCCCCCCCTGTTGACAAGCTTAACAAGATTCCCCGTCGGAGGAAAGAAATCGGATCGACACGCGAGAAACAATTCTTGCGCCTTTGATCGCAACTCGAGCGTGTTGAAATAAATCGCCGATGTTTCTCCGAGGGGCTTTCAGACCGTAACTTGTACAGAAATTCGATCTAACACACTCGACGGAGAATTAAAAGAGAAACGAAGTCCCTCTGTGATTAACGTTGCCTACTGTGTCGAACGAAAATACATCCTACGCGATAATTCATGGCGGAGTAACGTTGCGCTTAGCGCGAGGCCATTAAATATCACCGTGTCTACGTGTCTACAAACGGAATTCGCTAATCCTTCACCCCCAATTATTTCGTTGATGACTCGTTTACGAGCCGAGGGCGTCGCTCGATAGGTCGCGAAAAGGAAATTTGATTTTTACACAGCGCCACGTTAACGATGAAGTTTATTGATTGTCTCTACTTGTATCACCCTACACGACAACCATTCCGCGCCTATCCAGCATCGCCTATCCATCTCACGCCTTCGTTATTACAGTCGTATCTAAATTTCGCTCACATCCCGTGTGACCTTCCTCACCGAATGCTCGAGATCTATGTATTACATTCGTGCACACGCGCCGCGCGAAGAACTTTCCATTTACCCGAGTCGTTCCGGGGGGTCAATTCCGACGGAGGGTGGAGGGTACAAATGGAGAAATTTCGACATTTTCCAGCAGATGGGAACTAGAAAATTCGCTCGTTGGACGAATGAAAAATTCTTCGCGCCGCGTCGCGCGGTTGATTGCAAGACAGCTACGTTATAGTCGTAATATATAATATAATTTATAACCTATACGTTACCGCAAGTTCTATCAATCAATCGTGTTAAAGTGGAGTAAGTTGAGTGAGAGGCACCATAGAGTGTGCTCGTACGCACGTACAGGCTAAAGCGTGTTTTTCATAGAGTATTTTTCTTACGTTTTCCTGTGCACTTTCCTCATATATTTCGATGAAATGCACACTTATAATAAACTGGTAGTCGAAGGCCGTAAGGTTCGGTCGTGTATAAAAATATTAGGCTGTAAAGAGCGTCGTGTAAAATCGTCGGAAGCGTATAATGTATGTGTGTGTGTGTGTGTGTGTGTGTGTGTAGAGTATGTGTGTGTGTATGCGTCTAACGACGATGTTTGATTGTTCAACGACATTATCAAAATCCGAAAAGTTCCTTGAAGGAGAAAGAGAGCATTATGCTCGTTAAAAAACTATAAATCGGCGAGATGTTTGGTCAAAAGAAGAGGAGAACTGGATCACTTCCTTTTCGACTCGCTTTCGTACTGTCGAGTGAACGCGACATATTAAATTTCGTTTCTTCAAGAATTACCGCTTGACTACCACTTTATTATAACTGACAGAGAGGTTGTGCTTGATTCAAGAACGACGGAGTATTCCGCACGAAGGAAAAACTGTCTCTTACAATAAACAAAGCTCGAAAGTTACCGTCTCTCATTCGCCAGTCTCTTCGTCAACGGTTGGACGGTAACGTACGAATTTTGCACGTGAGTTTTGTCTTTAGCATCGAAAACACACGAGAAAACTATACGGGAAAATAGATCGCGGTATAAAAACATGAAACGATCAGTCACTAGTGAGACGAAATAGAGGAGATGCGATGTATAATTATCGAGTATGCGCTCGCGCCGTCGACGTCATACGCCCGTCGACGTGACGAATTGATCGTCCCGAATCAAGCACTACGTCCATTGCAGCAGTAAAGCGTGGTGTTTTGGTTCACGAGAAAGTCTTGTAAAATATGTATATTTTGGACCCTACACCTATAAATATGTATATATATATAATGTCTCTTCATGTGATTAAAAATATTCTTAGAAGCCGCTCGATTTTAAGAAAGTCGCTAAAACTACCCCGACTGTATATATGTACATAATAATATATATAAGGTGATAATTTTACATATATATATATATATATATATACACATATATATGTATATACGTATATACGTACACACACACACACACACACACACACACACACACACACACACACACACACACACACACACACACACATATATATATATATATATATATACGTATAAAGTGCGACAGATTCGCTCGCGGTAAAGGACGATATCTCCTTGCCCGCGAAAGACTGGTCGTTAACTGAACGGGGCGAAGCAGAGAATTGCGAGACAACGCGAGTCCGTCGTCCGTGAAGAACGCTATCTGAACTTATTAACGTTATATTGCTCGTCTCGATTTAGCAGTATCTTGGCAGTCGACGAAATCATAAGAATTACGCAACTATTACGCGTCGTCCTCTGCGTCGATGTCTCTCGAATCGATCCCGGTCTCGTCCCTTTCATCATCCGGCTCGCGCGACGAAAGGTCGCTAGTCCCTCTCGGATTCGTGCTGCGTCGCAACTTACGGCTTCGGTCCTATAAGTAGCAAGAGAGAGCTCCGTACGGACTATATAACGCGCTTACGAATCGCGCGCGGTATTTGAGAGATCGCGGTGCACGTTTCTCCGACCCTTAACGTTCCGTAAATCATCTACGTACAAAATATAAATTGTATTTGTATTTGCGAGGGCGTCGCGCCTCCACGCTACTCGCGGTGTAGGTATTTACATGCCTCTTCTTCTTCCTCCTCCTCCTCCTCCTCCTCCTCCTCCTCCTCTTCGTCCTCCTTCTCGTCCTCTTCTTCTTCTCTCTCTCTCTCTCTCTCTCTCTCTCTCTCGCAGCGCGTACATATTCCCTCAAATCCTTGAAAGGTTCCTTAAGACTCGCGCGAGCATCGAAGACTAATATTACGGATACATATACATGTACGCGTATGTATATCGTATCGAAGTTTCACGGAGCAGCATCTATAATCTATGCAGACGTATTGCTCTTCAGGGACAAGCATTGCAGGCGAGTGTGGTCGGGGAATGCCATAAAAAAATGGAGAATCATATATGCGAGCTTTGAAGCGGGTAAACCTCGAGAAATGTGTCTACCACGACGTTTGTGCTAGGCCGAAGAAATAAATCGAGGATACAATACAAATAAATCGAGGGCTCGCGGGCTCGGCCGCGGGCGAGTCGCGTCGACGACGGTGCTCGCTTGGTTTCCGCCTCTGCTGAGGGCCAGCCGTGCGACCCTTTTCCCACGGCCCACCGTTGCTGTCTCCTCTCCCGGTACCGATGCTCGATCAGACGATTCCGTTTCTTCGATAAATAATCCACCGATCGGCGCCGCGATCGGCAGTCTACGTACGAGTTTAATTAACAGGCTTAAAATCTGCTCTAGGAAGTTCAGTTGCTTATTGTTCCTCTTTATTATTCCTAGTTGGCCCGAATGATGTTCCCATTGGCGTTTACTCATTCCTTCGGCGAACTGAAAAATACGGAACGGCGTCGGTATTCCCCCGTCTCCTCTGCCTTTCCTCACCTCCTTCTTCTCCCTTTTGTTTTCTCCTCAACTTCTCTCGACGACGAGATCGAGCTCCTCGGTCTCGTCCCATCGTCGTCGACGAATAACGTACTCCTTAGCGCCGCAGTAACGAATCGCGCTACTTCGCACGCTTCCGTTTCGGTCCTTCCACGAAACGTCGCTCTTCTTCTTCTTCTTCTTCTTCTTCTTCTTCTTCCTCTTCTTCCTCTTCTTCCCTTGCCCTTTTGAGCGGCGTGCATAGCGTGTGCAGCCCTGCGGACGCCTTCACCGCGATTCGCGATCTCATCCCTCGCGTTTCCACGCGCGCGCCTCGTTGACTCTCGATTATGCTTTCTGTGCGTTTGACTTTGCCGTTCGCGCTTACGGTCAAGGACTCCCCTCGATCCCCAGCGACGTGTGTCTCTCCACGGACCACCGGGTATCGCCCTCGTGTCTCCCTCGAGAAACGCAGCGGTTGCGGCTGCTGATCTCACGGTCGACGCGCTCATTCGCCTCGTGTCGTTCGAGGACCGGAGATGTAAGAAGCGTGAGCTCTCTTCCGCCACCTTGGCTTCCTGTGTCGCGCGCTACGATCCCTCCGATCTTTCCACCCTCTCTCTCTCTCTGCCTCCGACGAGCCACGTGGTTCCCGGGATCGCCCCGTAGATCCTCTCGAGACGAATGCCGGACGACACCCGGTCACTCGTAAACGTTTGTACTTTCCGGACGTGTTCGGGATAACGCCGGGATACCGGCGCCTCTCGCGTTCAAGTGCTCTCGCTGAGCATGTTCGGCATCACCGTGGTGATCGTGACGCGGGGCGGGGTCCGAAGTGAAACCGCGGCTGAACGTAAAACGGATTTGCCGGGGGCTCTTTGTTACACGTCATCCTCTATACTACGAAGCGGTATCTGCTGCTTCTGCGCCACCGCGTTCAGCACGTACACCAGCTGGTCCAGCTTCTTGTCCATCACCGACAGCTGAAAGCAGAAGGTGCGATCCCGATGCACTTCGGATCCGCGAGCGCGAGGTAACGCGCGCGGAAAGTGCTGAAGAAAGTGCGCGAGAGGCTCGATCGATCTGATCAACCTGCGACGACTGATCGCGCGAGAGCGCCAAGTGACAGCCCTGACTTGATTCGGCGCGCGCAAGGTTGCTAGTCATTTCTTTATAGACGTCGACGAGACTAAGCCTGGATCGTTCGCTCTACTCTGACTGATCAACAATCAACAAACGAGTCGACATTGCGTGTAATTAAAGAATCCCAACGAGCGGAATGTTGAGCCGCTATAGCGCCGGTCACCGCACGATACGAAGGTGGTTTGTTTAACCCATTTGCATCATCACAGCTTGAATAACGTAACTGCCGAAATCGGAGACGTTCAACTGCGCAGTCGACCGCGCGTTAACGCACATCACTGGCGAAAAGTGCACGTCGAGAGCGTATTATTATTCCGCGGCCGGTGATAAGTGACAATCATTGTGCGCCGATTATTCCGCTTGCTTCCGGATGCAAATCGATTAAACAAGAGGAAAGAGAGAGAGAGAGAGAGAGACACGCACCTGCTGCTCGACTCTGTATAAACGCGCACCGATCGTCATGGGTTTCACGTTGCCAGCCCGGTCGATCCCCGCCAGGTAACTCCCCGGCTTACCCAGGGTCTGATCCAATCTTCTCTGCAGCTCCTGCGGACAAAGCAAGCGTGCGATCAACGTCAACGTGGTAGACTCTGCGCGCGCGGCGGGCGAAAATGTGAGCAAGGCAAAAGTGAAGTCGGCACATCGAGAGAGAGAGAGAGAGAGAGAGAGAGAAAGCTGAGCGCGTCACTCGCGATCGATGCCGCGCTGCAACCTCGTTCTGAGTCTTCTTCTTCCCTTCCGCCGTCATTGGTTCGACGTTTTCATGGAATTACACGGAGTGTGTATTGTCGGAAGGACGACGCGCTTGACAGAAATTCGCGGGTCCTCGCAAACGTGAGATCTGCTCGCGACAAGGAAAGGTGAAGCTCCGCTCGGGATTAAAATTCGCGCAGCGCGGCCATAATTAGTTAAACAATGCGCGGAGGAGCCTTTGTCGCGCTCGACGAGAGCGGCAACTCGAAATTTCGTCAGCGGGATTTACCCTGAGACACCGCGGGAGTCGGGGAGGAGGGGGCGCGGGGAGGGGGAGGTGCTATCGATCTACCCGATACATAACACCAGAGCTCCACTCGCTGAAGTATCCCGAAGTCTTTCTTCGGCAAACAAAAGACAATGCGCTCGCAGGGAGAAGTCGAGTCACAGTGATTGACGTTTTGCCCTTGCCGGCTGGCTTTTTATTAAAGCCGCCGTTTCTGCCGTCTGCCGGCCACGATAATGTAGCTCTGTTGTTCGAGCGCGAATAAACATCGCCGGCCGAATGCCAATTCGTCTGACGGCTAATCCAATCCCGAGGAATTTTCGTATCGTCTTTCAGCGGCGGCGAAAGCCGCTCGCCGAGCCTCGCTCGAGTCTGGCTTGACAAAAGCTTCTCATCGCACGCTAATTGTCGACGCTAATATTCAACGACGTTTTCAAATGTGACACGCTCCGCAATTTGAAAATCGAAAAAATTCCGATAACATCCGCGGCGAGAATGCACGAGCGGTGGTTGCTACGGGGCGTGGGGGAGGGAGGGGGGGGGGTGCCCGCGACGCCTGACGTGCGCGCCGACAATTCCCGGTGTCTAAGCGGCTTAGATACTCCCAAGTGACAGGCAACGACGACTATTCGTCGATTAACTGCCGGCTGTTTTGTCGCTGTGGCGTATCGACGACTGCATTGTCCGCGCGAATCGACACGAGCCTCGCGCGTTACCCCTTCGATCTTGCGTGTCGCGCGCTAATCGCCGACGAGTGATCGCGAGTTCGATTGAGCATTGAGGCGAGGGGGGGGGAAAGAGGAAGGAGGTCTCGCCATTGATGATTAATCCGTCAAATAAGGATAATTGGAATTATCGGGGCAAACGTAGCGGCGCGCAAACGTATTATCAAGCCGCCGTGCGTGAAAAGGATTCGAGGTTTATCGAGAAAGGGCACACCGAGCGAATAAACGCAGGAAGCTATTATTTTTTTCCCGGCGTTCCGAGCGACTCTAATTGATTTTCGAGTGACTCGCGAGCGCGCAGAGTGAACGAAATCCGCAGGATCAGACTCACCTTAATCCGCACCATCATGTTCAGGTGACCCTGGCTGTATTGCTCGATGACGTCACGGACGTCGTACGGCTTCCGCGCCTGCTGAAACTTCCTGCGAGCCACGAAGTACTTGATCTTCCTGATTGCCCGGATAGCGTTTCGGTGTGCCTCCGTCAGCCTGCGAAAAGCGACAAATTCGCGCTATCGGGGCGGTAAATTGTGACGGGACGAGTGGCAAACTGCATCGCGTTGTTTCGCCGTTTATTCCGATGATGCTCGAGCCCGTTTCAATCTGCGCGGCCCGTTCCAAAGCGGAAAATCGTTTAGCGTTTAAAGGACGAAGGGAGAGAGGAAGAGAGAGAGAGAGAGAGAGAGAGAGAGAGAGAGAGAGAGAGAGAGAGAGAGAGAGAGAGAGAGAGAGAGAGAGAGAGATAGGTCCGGTTAAACGCGAGAGCATCACACAGCTAGTCACGGCGGAATGAAATTACCGTATTGACGAAATTCAATTGTTCGCTTTGTTGTCGCGACAGTCTGCCGTTCGGTCGGTGCAGTTTACGGAAGAAATCGATTCCTTCCCGAATGAGTCGCGATCTCCGCTAACTTGATTGCCGTAGTCGCTCGCGGCGGGACGCAATGCGACTCGTCTCCTTTCCGTCGTTACGGGCAAGAAGAAGATAACCGATAAAACGCCGCATCTCTCCCTCCGATGCTCCGCGCTTCGATGTTGACGCGACCACGGTATTTCCCGCTACAAACACGCTAATATCCTGCGCACCTCGCGTCCGCCTGAAACGACCGGCTCACCATCTCACCTCGAGATAGAACAAGGACGCAAGCCCCGTCGAGAGAGAGAGAGAGAGAGAGAGAGAGAGAGAGAGAGAGAGAGAGAGAGAGAGTCACCCGTTATCATCCCCGTAATCTGCGGCGCGCGGTACAAGTGCTCGTCGCGCAGGACGAGCAGGATATGCAACATCGACTCGTGCCGAACACACCACGTGCGCGTCCATCTCGGGATTACACGGCCGTCACGTGTATCGGTTTTCTTGCCCGTCGATTTTGCGCCGACCATATCCCGTCGACGCCCTTATCGATGTGCCCTCAGCGCGACTCAGGGCGAGAATATCGGCGAATTCGCGAGAAGTGGCCGTTCCTCTCCGGCTGTGTTTGCATCCGCGAGAACGCTCACGTTCGTCGCGAGCGCTTCCGTTATGAATGCAAACGCGCGCGAGGTCGAGTAAACAGCGCGAAGAGACCAGCGTCGAGAGACGCGCCGATCACCGATTACTTTCGCTCGTTGTCGATGCGGCCAGCGGCTCGAGATGAAAGAACGGCAGTGGATAAGCGAGAGATGGCGCGAGTGCGGAAAAGGCGGGCGGACGGTGATTTGAAAATGAAATCAAGGCTGCGCGACGACGAGTACGGAGAGAAGAATATCCAAACGGTATCTTTCCTTGCCCCCCCCTCTCTCTCTCTCTCTCTCTCTCTCTCTCTGTCTCCGCAGCTGGCAGACGTACGAGAGCCTCAGCCACCGCAGCCGGGCGGAAGTAGGTGAGCCGCGAAGGAAGCCGCGCAAGGGGGATGAGAGGGAAATCTGGCTCGCGCGCCGAAGTGTCTTTATGTGCTGCAAGTTCGACTACGCGCGCACTCGTCGCCGGCAGCGCGCGAAATCTGGGTCATTCGTACGGCGCAAAGTAACGGCGCGCTGTGGAAAAAGCACTTTACGGGTCTGTGCGCGCGGCGGCGGCGGCGACGGCGGCGGCGGCGGCGGCAGAGCTCGGAAAAGGCCTTTTGTGCGGGACGCCGCGCGTCCCGCACGCGCTCGAGCAATCGGCTCTCTGGAAATGTCAATGGCGCGCGAAGCTGGCCGAGGCCTCGCCCTCGTCCCCTCGCGCGCGAGGGGATGTATTTTCGACGCGACGACGAGTGCATCTGGTAATCTTTCGGCTAATTGTCCGGTGAATATCGTGAATTGTTAACGAGCGAGCGGACGCGAGGAGGAAGGCGAGTCGCGGGTGGATCTTATTCCGCGCCGAAAGGCGTCGCCTCGCGGCGGCGGGACATCCGATAGATCGTTCCGCGGCGTATGAGATGGACAATAGCCGGGGAGGAAGGGGAGGGGCGGGGGGTAACCTGTGCTAAATTAAAGCTCCGAATTAAAGGTCCAAGGATGCGGCTAAATATACGAGGCGGCCGCCGAGGCTGGAAATAGAGACGCCATGTTAGCGGATATATAAGAGTCTAGAGGGAGAGCAGATACCCCCCACCCGCTCTGCCGAGCGAAAATTTCGTCAAGAGTTACGCTCGGACAATTGTTTGCATCCGAGCGTGTCGCTGTTGGGAGGCCAAACGGGAACACATCGCGCGATTAATGCGGTCGATCCCGGAATAGCGTTCGCATTTTCGACTCGAGTCCTTCCCCGCGCTCGTCCCGACGGTGAAATATACACGAGGCGTCTCCCCCGCCTGAATATTCTGTACATTCTATTTTCATTTCTGCCGGTTATCATCCGAGGGGCCGCGAGCGTGGCGGCGGCGGAGGGGGGGGGGGAGGGGGCAATTGAAGAGACGCGAGCGCGAGCCAAGAGGACGATACGATAGCGGCCTGGACATTTCCATGACGATGATATTCGAGATTGAATCGCGAGCCTTCGCGCGCATTTCAGGCTCCCCTTTCAAAGGGCATTTCGAAGCGAGGCCACGTAACGCAAACGTTGAATCGAAACGGGAGACTTTACGCGCGTTACGCGGAATGAGATTTGTACCGGGTAAACGCACATGTCCTCGCCCTTCCACTCACCTCCGCCGAACACATCCCACCCGTACTCGTATAACACGGTACAGCCCGATCGCTCTGTCCTGCGGGAGCTCGCGCTCTCGCCCGAGTGCGATCTGCCGGCGATATTTATCCGTATATTATGGTATGCACGAGCTGCACGAAAATTCGCCGGCGTTATCGATTCCGCATACAAAGTGGAAGTAATTTGCATGGAGATATACCTATACGCTCCTCCCGGCTTTCTCTACTCTGATTTCGGTCGGCGCGATCTAACTTGGTATACACGCGAAATGGGCGTTTAATAACTCCGACGATCGACCACCGCGCCGCGCTGCGCCGCTCCGGTGGCGGCGGCGGCGCGCTCGAAAGTCGCTCTCGAAGTTATCGAACGGCCACATACCGTGTAGCGTTTCCGTATACCGCGGGCTCAACGCGTACACCGACGGTGCACGGAACGCGCGACACGCGAGAGAATAAGAGAGAAAGAAAAAGTGAGAGAGAGAGAGAATAGAGAGTGTGTGTGTGTGAGAGAGAGAGAGAGAGAGAGAGACTGGGGGAGGAAAAGAGACGGAGAAAATAGTCCAATTTTTGCGCAGCGGCGAATTCTCCGCCCAATCGAGGATCGAGATGTGGTACTCACGTGGTGACCCTCTGCGGCTCCTCGATGTCAATGTCGATTTCGTCGCTGGTCGCCTCCGTCACCGAGCTCGTCTGCGAGGTGAAGAGGCTCCCCCTGCCGATCGGAAATACGCTATTCACACTAACGGATTCGCGAATCCGCTCCCTCGGTAGCGACTCGCTCCGAAGAAAGTGCTCTTCAGTCGAGCGCGCCTCGCGGCTGTCTGTCGCGCCGAGAGTTCCGCGGGGATCGCGATCTTCGCGAGGCCGCGGATGGAATTACCTGCCACGACACGTCGCTCGCGTATCTCATGAATTTCCTCGCGAATTTCGTCGGAGTTGCGCCCACGAGGGGCGCCCCCGCCCCACCGCCGCGCTCTCTCTCTCTCTCTCTCTCTCTCTCTCGCGATGCAACTGTCGAGGTGCGTCGAGAGAGGTAAGGAGAGGCGGCGGGGAATCTCGCCTCATTTCCTCTCCTTTTTTTTTTTCGAAGCTCGCCGAGCGCTCTGCTAATGTTTCCCCGTTTCCGCCGAGCGACGTTTGTTGCCGAGAGGAAATGCGTTCGGCGAAACGCTGACGAGCTTAGCGAGCAGTCGCGGCGACGCGCGCGCAGCACCTCCGAGTCCTTTCTCCGGAGCAATTTGCCGGATACGCTTGTCCCTCGACAAATGCGAGGGAAATGCCGCTGGGTATTGCTCTGACGGATTACAGCCGCGTGCGCGAATAACGGATAACTGGGCAGGCGTTTATCGCTTTTGTTGCGAGACGTAATACGCCGGCGTAATACCGCGTATAGAGTTCTGAAATCACGTCGATCGCGCGCGCGGATCGCAACCGCGATGTGCAATGCGATTTATCAGGATTCCACGCGCGCTCGGCAGCACTCCCGATTACGTTCAATTTGAGTAATGCGAGAGAGAGAGAGAGAGAGAGAGAGAGAGAGAGAGGAAGAGAGAAAATACGATATTGTTTGCACACGCTTTCCTCGGTACTCAGTTCGCTACTCTGCGTCCAGTGCGCGCAGCTGCGAAACTCCGCGATTTTACATCGCCTAGATTTTACATCGCTCGCGTGTTTTTCGCGCGAATTTCACTCCGCATCCATCACCGATCCCCGAGAAAATCTCAATTATCGAGAATTATCCGACATTATCGCGACCAACGCGACGCGTCGGATTGCATTATCTCGCGCTTCGACGACGCTCCCCGTCACCGTCGCGGTCGTTTTCGTACCGTTTTCGTGCGATGCGGCTCACAGTTTCAAATTATGTACACAAACAACAGAAAGTAATGCGCGAATCCATTCGAGCGTGATTCCCGGAGTTTCACGGAGCCCTCGGATTTGCGTATCGTGCTGTTCGCCGTTAACGCCCGAGTGCGTTTCGAGCTTGATCGAGAGGTCTGTAGTTGCCAACTAGTAGAAGAAGGAAGCGCTTCTTGCCGCGAGTCGTAGCCCGCTGTTTGCCCCGCGAAGGACCGATGGCGGAGGATATATCGCGCGGTAATTGCCGATATATCCTCTTATAGGATAGGATCCTCTCTGGGAATCCTCTCACAAATAACACTACTCAACTGTTACTCACCGATTCCAATGAAATTTGGCACGTAGAGACATTGAGAAATATTGAACACGTGTTCTTTTATATCGGCTGTCAACGCATTTTAAAGGTAGAAATCACCCCGTGATCCCTAAACATGAAAGTACTATTCAACCCTTTGTACATATTACATGTGATTTCCGTCAAACTTGTCTTCCATTGAACTAGTCAGTGAGGGGTTTTTAGGATCGCTGATTACGAATCCGGAGATAAAATTACAAAATTCAAGATGGCGGAATATGACGTAATATGACAGATCGAAATTGTACCAGCGAAGGAGGATATTGCCTCAGGCAATTACATTTAACAATGAATTTAACAATGAATACAAAATTGACCTGTCGCGTCAGTTTTCTTTTCGGATTAGGAAGTTGGTCTTCCAAAAGGTTATCCGTCAGTATCCGAGCGGAATATGTAATGATATTCTGACATATCTTGATAAGATATAGATATAGATATCTTATAGATTAATATCCTTTATATAATTTATAATTAATATCCTTGAAAGTTTACGATAAACCTTCTTAAAAATCTTACAAGTAAAACACATTACGATAATAATAATAATAATAATAATAATAATAATAATAAAGTGTGGCAAACGAATTATATTTTGACTTTCGACTTCAGATTCGTAATTAGAGATCCCAAAAACCAGATACCAAAATTAGTTTGAATCAGCCACCTTCTTACAATTTCGGTCCGCCATCTTGAATTTTGTAATTTTATCTCCAGATTCGTAATCGGCGACCCTAGAAACCCCTTACTGACCAGTTCAATGGAAGACAAGTTTGACGGAAATCACATGTAATCTGTACAAAGGGTTGAAATAGTGTTTCCATGTCCAGGGATCAAGGGGTGATTTCCACCCTTAAAATGCGATTGTCAGCCGATGTAAAAAAACACACGTTCGATATTTTTCAATATTTTTCTACGTTCTACATGCATACCAAATTTCGATTGGAATCGGTGAGTAACATTTGGGTAGTGTTACTTGTCAGTGTCGTGCACGAGTTCCTGTTCCCGCCGTGTCTTCTTCGCCGTTGAGGATCAGCGCGCAGTTACACGCGCGAGGCTGCGCGTTCGTCCCCGAGACGAGCCCCGGCATATTTTTCACCCCCGTGCCGGAGAAACACGCGGAAGTGAGCTCGCGAATTCCACGGCGCTCAAACTCAGCGTGCCAGGGACGCAGTTTCGCTCTCTCGCCGAAAGCTCTCTCCGAGAGCTTCCCCAGCCGAAAGCGAGCCCGCCATCCGCCATCCCAAAGAAACGGTCAGAGACTCGGCGCTATTACGATGCAAATTAGCGCGTTACGCGTGTATAACTCCGCTGAGTTATACACGCTGAAAAGGCTGAAAAGGGAATAATTCCCTTTATCATTTGCGTATTCAAATTTTTCGCTGAGGAGCCCAACGCGCGTCACGCAAGCTCAGCGATGTTCAAGGCGGAAACGACCCGGCTTTGTTTCATCGCCTCGCACGCTTCTAATGGCGTCGGTGCGCGGTACAACGCCGGCGAGATTACGATTCGCTCCACGGCGAGGACGAACGCGGAGTGAGGTCTCGTCGCGGTCATTCCCGCGAGGAAGAAACAAGTCCGTCAGAGCTGGATCCTTCGTTGCCAGAGGACGTTGCCGCGCGGAAACTCGGTGGCGCCAAGCGAGAGGTCTCGCTCGATCAATCGCTTTCAATTAGCTCGACTGAGTTTTCACACGGCTGAGTGTTCAGTGGCGAGAGAATGTTTCCGTCCGAGAGTCCACCGAGTTTTCGCCCGAGTCCTATCCACCGACAAACCGAGACCTTATTCTGGGACGCAAGCCGAGCGCGCCAAGTGCGCCCTTCCGCCTGTCAAGCCGGAGCAACGTGTTGTATGGACAAAGATTGTCGACGAGTTCCAACGCGAGTTGGAACGAGAAGGGCGCGCTTCGCGCGCGTCCGCCATGTCCGGAATAAGACCCTTGTGACCCTTTTTTGTCCACGTGGAAGAATGAAGAAAATTTCTCTTTCCCCGGAGTTGTCCGGCGGAGATCCGTTTGCTCACCGGTTGTCGCGTCTCGCGCGATTCGGCGTGCCCGCTTTGGGCTCCTCCATGTAGAAAACCACGTCTCCCTCATTCTCGAGACGCTGGTTTTCGTTCTGGCCGGTGCCGGCGCCGGCCGAGATGCCGCCGGAAATGGTGACGGGCGGCAAGGCTTGCTGCTGCTGCTGCTGCTGCTGCTGCTGCTGTTGCTGCTGCACGTCCATCCGGTTCCGCGACTTCCGCCTCTTCAGCACGCTCGCCTTCTTTGCCACCTGGATCATCAGAGACTGAACCCCCGGTGCCCTCCCATTACAACACACGTCGAACACAGCATGCACTATCCCTACTGGCCGGCCATTCGGCCGCTCTTTCTCGACCACGACGACACGGACAGCCCATCGTCATCGTCCGGCTATTCCCGGCGCAGGAGCGACCATCCCTCCCGCGGGACGCCCGCACGAACGAGGAATTTGCTGCGGGAAATTACGCCAGTCGCGGTGCCGGTGTCCCATTTTCGAGAGGAACCGCGCGTCCTTCGACACTCGCCGCGGACGCACGCTGGAGACGCTCGGCAGCATCGTCGGCAGCTGCCCTCCCCCCCCCCCCCGCGGATGACTATCGACGATATGCCGAGCGCGTTTTTACAAAAGAGAGCTCTCTCTCTCTCTCTCTCTCTCTCTCTCTCTCTCTTTCTCTGTCCTTGCCGCGAACGAATGACAACGTTGATCACGGCTCGGACCAGCCGAGTACTCCTAAAACGTTCCAGCGAACCGTTCCACCAGCAGCGCATGTTCCGCTACCCGAGCAGAAGAACATCGTCCCACGGCCGTATTAAAACCCAGCCCGGCTTCCAAACTTCAAATAGGGCCCGGATTACTTTATCGGATCAGGCACGTAATAAGGAGTGAAACGCACCGCTGCATAATACCCCGATAAAATTGCCTGAAATCGAGAGACCTGATGAAATGTCCATCAGGACCAAATCAGGCATCCAAATAACGACGTCATCGCTGGTCAGGCTATAATCCGGAAAATATTGCAAGACAATTGCCACATTCCGACCGGATAAGGACCACTCGAAATGCCTCCTTGTGGATTGCCTAGTCATGCCATATCAGGCATAAAAAGTTGCCGTATTTCATTTCTGCTCGGGTGATTGCGAGAGCGACCGCCATGCGCGATGCGAGACTGCTGCGCAAACGTGGGTCGGCGTTTCTTTTCTCTTCTTCCTTTCTCTCTCTCTCTCTCTCTCTCTCTCTCTCTCTCTCTCTCTCTCTCTCTCTCTCTCTCTCTCTCTCTCGCGGATCCACGTTAGCATCGCACGACTTTTCTCTACTTTTCCATCGCTGCTCGATTAGCAGGATGCGAAAACGGCGGACTTCAGCTGAGCCCCCGAGGAATATTTAAGGATGTACTCGGTCAATCTTGGTCGCGAATGTCTCGCGGAGTATCTTTCGCAGTATCTTTCGACTGCCTGCTCCCATTTGCCGCGCGCGCTTTTTGCGCGCGTCGCGTCGAGTCGCCGAGGCCCGCGACTGGCGTAAACTCCCGTTTCTTGCGTCGCAAACTCGAATGCGAGATATCCAGGTCTTGCGTTCTGCAGACTGATGCCGGCACAAAGAGCAACGTGGAAGCATACACACACACACGCACACGTCATGTACACTGACACACATATATATATATATATATATACAGCTAGCGATATATAAATGTATATAATTCAAGCGCATGCATACTACAAACTGTTGCTAACACACAAGTAACGTCAAGTCACTCCTCGTTGCATCACCGATCGTTATCCCTGGAGGTAGCTTAATGGCAGGGAGGCAAGAAAAATACATCGTACAGCCAGAGTTACAGAAGCGCAAACATGGTAAAAGAAGAAAAGGGAAGAAGAAGAAAAGGAGGAGGAGGAGGAGGAGGAGGAAAAGAAGGAGGAGGCAGAGGAGGAGGAGGAGAAGGAAAAGAAAGCGATTACGTCGTTTCTTCTTAGACAAGCTTTAAGAAGCTTACACGAAGCCACGCTCGCTCTTTCGAGAGGAAGCAGCTCGCCCGATCGCAGCTCGCATGACTCGTCCCGTTCGTTAAAAGGAATAATGGCGGTATATCGACGGCATTACGCTGTTGGCACACTCGCGGCCACGTTATCGAACGGAGAAAAAAGAATCGCGCGGCGAGCTAAAGTCAAACAGCGGCGCAGTGGAAAGGGAGAGGCTTCCTCTCGGTTAGATGAGAAAATTCGACAGAGCCTCGGTGTCTCGATGGCAAATCCGTAGAGACGACAGTAGACGACGCTGCGGCCTCTCGGCGCGCACTGTCGCCGGGTATTTAAGCTTCGGACAAATTTGCATAAAGGCTCAGCCCTTACATGCGGGGGTTAGAGCGGGCGTCTTCGTGAGAGCTAAGCGTGTGCGGCGGGAACACCGTTCTTTTGGTTGGAACAGCGCAGCCGCCGGATATGTCTTAATATATGCGTGATAAGTACACCTAATATACACATTCAGCCAGACACGGTGGATAACAGTGGCTTTGGCTCGTAAGAGATACAAGAGGTAGGTTACGCTCGACGTAAACGGTGTAACGGGAACGGTGTAAAGAAACGTGATGAGAAAGTTGGTAAAAAAATAAACATGCAAAAGAGAGTATAAGAATGGAAATAAATATAAATCATTTACATACCATCTTCTTTACACAAATCAACTGAAATATATATTAGGTAAATTTTATCATCATCGTTTTGATCATCGCACTGAGCGTCGTTTTTGTGTTTGTTTGTTTGTTTGTTTGTTTGTTTGTTCGCTTTCTCTTTTTCTTTCCGTTTCTTTTTGGTTTTCTCTTTTTCTTTTTCTTTTCTAGGCGTCTAATTTCTTTCGCGTTCTTCCAATAACGTAAGGTAATAACGTAATTACCGCGCCCGTGCGCCGCCGCGTGATATCTCTCTGAGCGGGTCTCTTTCTTCCCGCTTTCGTCGGTGAAACAGAACACAGTTCGAGAACTTTGGCAGCAGATGCAAAATGGAGAGACACTACTACTGCTACTGCTACTACGAGTACACCGTCGCCTAGTGTCGATCGAGCGCGTACGAGCGAAATGTGCCGATACGGCTCGTCTCTCGTATTGCACGCGCGCGTGTCAAATGTTGCGTCGCTACACGACAGTCCGAATTTATCGTCATGGAATAATACACATGCTTGCGGCGCGCGCGCGCGCGCGCGCGCGCGTTTTCTATCGTACTGTTTTCCCGCTCTATGATATCCGCTGCGGCCGCTGCGGCGCACGAAAGCACCGCGGCAACATCGACGATAATAATCGTCGGCGTAAGTGACGAGGTGAAACACGGCCGTATCGAAAAATCAAGCGTCACTCTAAAAATATCGCGCGCGCTCGTTAATCGATTCGTATATTCCCGAAGCAATTTATACACAATGTGACAACGTCGAGAGCGCTGGGTTTTCGTACGATAATGTTTGAAATGCAAATCTCGTAAGCGGGAAAAAGGACAGATGACATTACGGAAGAGAGATACCGAGCAGAAAAGAGCAGCTGACGGTCGAAATTATTGACTTGAAACTTTTATAGGATTTGTGTCTACGCATCGCGACACAGACCAGTCGCGGAGACCGGTTTCAAAACGAAAATGTTTGCAATTCAAATTAGATTGAAAAGAAGACGGGATACACACGGGAGAAGAGAGTGAGAAAGACAGAGAGAGAGAGAGAGAGAGAGAGAGAGAGAGAGAGAGAGAGAGAATAGAGGAAAAAGCTGCAAAAATTCAAACGCGCGATGCGAGAATTTTGCCGGCAGAAATCAATCTAATGTAGCAGATCTGTCTGTCGAGGTACGTTCCAACGAACGACCTTCATCCCACGTACATCCGACGTTTCAACAAATAAATGTTCAACAAAAAAATTACATATGTACACTCAAAGGACAAACAAACCAATTGCTGAGGATCGTCGGCAATTATAATGAGGAATAATGCACGCCCGAGACACAAAACCAAGTCGAATCAATGAAAACGTAAGCACAACTCCCGTAACTTTGTGCGCAAGGGGGGATGTAATGTACAGAAGCCTCTAAGCGCACCTCTTACTGCATATATAAACACACGTATGTGACTAGCAACATGGTGGAAAGAAGAGAGAGAGAGAGAGAGAGAGAGAGAGAGAGAGAGAGAGAGAGAGAGAGAGAGAGAGAGAGAGAGAAAACCCAAAAACGAAACCGTCCGGATTGATCTCGTGGATTGGTAAAATAACGGCACATCGAAAACATCGAGCAGAATTCGCATTCTCCGCTTGCATCCATCCACTGCCAAATTGTCATCAAGTCGGACGAGTAACGACATCCCGGCCGATCGTCGTTATTGTTGTCGCAGTTGCTGTTGCACCGCGGCTCGCTACGATACGAAGCCGATTCGCCAGGACGGTGGCGGCTAATAATATAATGTCAAACGACGGGACTACGCGGGTTGAAGTCGCGACTTTGCCGTTCGCACTATTGCGCACTCTCGGAAGATTTCTTCTCGCGCGAGAAAAGAAGCGCGGAAGCCGCGTCTGCTGCAGTCTTGGCCAAAATTAGCGCGGTTAGCGTGCGACGATGATTCACAGCCGCGATAAATTCCGCTAACGACCTTATTTGTGATATTTCAAGGGAGCGCTCTCTTATTCCGTCACGGTAATCTTGTAATTAAGTTCAACCGGCCCGAGAGATTTATACCGCGCGATTTGTCAGAGAGATACACACGCCCGTACCTTTGGCCAAAGCTGCGTGAAATCAGCCCCGGGTTACATCGGCTCGCCCGTTCGATTCGTCGAACACGAATTTGGACCCGCACGAAGCGCGGAAAACGAGGAACGTCGATGCGTCCGCCCCATTTGGCAAATGCATAATTCATTAATTGTGTGTATTTAATTCCGCGCTCGCTGTTTTCGACGCTCGCCTTGCCACGCGAGCGTTTGTTTTTTTCTTTTAAGCGCGAGATGTAATCGGCGGAAGGCCGACGCGGGCGGAGAGGCCGAGAGAGATCTAGGGAGGAAACGCTTTGCCTCGCTGTGGCGCTGTGAAATTCAACGATTCGCTCTCGCTTATCGAGACGCCCGAGGCGAGCGAGAGAAAAAAAAGATGCTTTTTATTACACGCTATATAACATGCCTCTTTGGAGCCGCGTCGCGCCGCGGTACAGGTCGACGACACAGGGTAAATTTGATTTCTCGCAAATCCGCTTAAGAGAGCGCGCGCGGGGAGGAGGCGGGGGGGGGGGCGAAACGAGAAACTGAAAGAGAGACGAGGCGGAGAGCGAGGCCAGGCCAGGCGAACACAACGACGAGACTCCTCTTGTGACTCCGCGGTATTAGCCGATAATCCGGGCGCACGTGGAAAAACCGCTAATCGCGACGAGTAGAGTCAGCGGATCTCGGGGGCGGCAATTAGCCGCGGGGGGCAGGGGCGCGGGCTGAAGGCGACACGGGTAATCCCGAGCCCGTTGGTGCGCACGGATCGCGGCGCGACAGCGCGAGTCGCGCGCGAACAAGATCGCGCGTATCGGCGGCGATCCGCGCGAGATCGGCGCGCGCGGCGAATTAGGTCGTCCGTCTCTCGCTCGCTCGATGGACGGCGATCGAGCTCGGTACGGTCATCACTTCGGTACGTCCAAGGACATTGTATAAGCAGCTAAGAACATCAACAGTCAACAGCTAGTCAACGGCTACTGCTCCGCACCGCTAAACCCGCGATTTACGGCGAAACATTACCTTTCCCAGAGGCGTCGACGGCTGCCCGGCCGGCGTCGGGTCCTTGATGTAGATGTTCCACGTGGCGACGCTGTTGATGGCCTTGTCGGCGGCGTAGCACCTCCACAGGCACTGTATCAGCATCGCGGCAGCCGGTATCTGCCGGTTGAAGTGCTTCTGCCGCTGCTTCTGCTGCACCTTGAGCGCGAAGCCGGAGCCTAGGATACCCTGCGGAGAAGATCCGAGGGATACGTGCGAGTTGCAGCTTGGGACAGACGGTGGGCGCGAGTCTCCGCGAAACTCTTTAGCGTGCGTACTCACAGCTGGAAGTGCGAAGAAGGATATGGCGAACACGCTGAAACACGAGGCCACTATTTTCCCCATCCACGTCTGCGGCACCGTGTCGCCGTAGCCTATCGTCGTCACCGTGATCTACAAAGAGAAGAGAGCACAAATTAAGGTACACGCACATCGTACACACGTGCATACGTAGCGCGCGCGAGGTATCATCAGGTATCCCCGCTTGACTGTAATGAAATCGGACTCAGTCCGGAGGGTTTTGCCGCGCGAGCAGTTAACGCGTATCCAGCCTCTCGGCGGTCTGGCTCAAGGAATTCAATTAATTAGTTCTATTTATTGGCGCATTACGCTCTAATAAGTAACTCGCATGGCACGCGTCCCACCTTGCGCGTCTCGCGGCGCGATTGCGGCTGGGTCGGAGCGTGCGCGGGACGCGAGGCGGAGAGTGCCGACGTCCGCATCGATTCAAACGTATCATCGGAGGTGCGCCGTGCGACTATTTATGAGCGGATCACTGCCGCTCGCCATTTTTTCCACGCGACTCTTCGCCCCCCAAGGTCGTCCGAGTCGCTCGCGGAAGGCGATTCTTCACATCGCGGCTCGCTCGCGGAGCCGACTTTGCGGGTCGTCGTGAACAAACAGATTAGAGCGACGACGGGTCGTTGTGTCGTGCAAATGACGAGCGAGAAAGAGAGAGAGAGAGAGAGAGAGAGAGAGAGAGAGAGAGGAGAGACTCACCACTCCCCACCAGAGCGCGTCAGCGTAGCTGGAGAAGTCCGTCTTGCCGTCCGGCCCGACCGCGTCCTTTTCGGCGAGGTACACGAAGTAACTGCTGAAGATAAGGCCTAGGAATCCAATGTACAGCGTGGTGATCAATTCCTGCGAAAGTAAACGGCCGAGGCATTCCACAGGGTACTTTTCTCCGCTGATCCGCGCGCGCGCGCGCGCGCGCGCCTTGCGGTCGGGAACTTTGAGGGGACTGGAGGGTCAGATTACTGAAAAATCGTGATTGTTTTGCATAATATTTTGCGACGCACTGAATAAATGTGCAAGAATGAAAATTTTAGATGTATTTATATAACATACGAAGAGCAGAAAAATTTTTGTTTATTAACAAATACTCATGCAAATATACGTCCACTTAAATTTTAAACGCGTTTTTCTCGAAATTTTATTGTTCAACTTTTTGTGCATGCAATGATCTCTCCGAAACTGAGCTTCGTATCGATTTGAAATTTTAAAGCAATGATATTTGTTCATCTGGCTCTCAGATGAACCACGGACAATTACGTCAAAATGTTTCATTTCGAGATATTAATTTTTTTATTGTAAAAGAACTGAAGAATTTGGATCTCTTCCTAATTTTTTCCTAAAATTTGGATTTTTGTTCGATTTCTTTTTTTGTAGTGGTAAGCCTCCTCAAGATTTCTAGCTAAAATTCGCTCTGATCGGACCGTTGACAGCTGAGAGATATTACTGCAAAAACGACAACTTGAGAAAAAGAAGGATAGAGTATATTTCAGCTATATATATATCGTACATTTATATGAGTATTTGTTAACAAACAAAATTCTTCTAATCTTCATATGTTGTATAAATATACCTCAAATTTTCATTCTTGCACATTTATTCAGTTCGTCACAAAATATTATGAAAAACAAGCACGATTTTTCAGCAATCTGATTCTCGAGTCCCTTTAAGGCAACTACGTGGTACCTGGCGATGTATGAAAACCACCGAGCCCAGGAGCCGCCAAGTGCCGCCTTGGCGATCGACGTGGAGCATCCGAAGAATTTGCAAAAACCGAATACCCCGGATGGCGGAAGTTGCGAACACCTGACCGTTGCTCCCCACCGACAGCACCACCATGGACGCCACCACGACGATTAAATCTGAAAGCAACGTGAGGAGTTCCGCTGACGACGCGACGGAGAGAGACGTTCAGCGCGGCGCGAACGGGTATTCTCCTTTCTTATGGCGGCAGTATGTTTCGCGCTCGTCGCGTCGATTAAAATCAATATTTTCCGCCGGCGAAGAGCGCCGGGTAAGCAAGCGTAATCGGCTAGTCCGATCAACGCGGACCACGCGATCCGATTAACGCTTAATCCGAGCGCGCTGCCGTTTACCTGCAAAATTCATTTGTCGGCGTCGCGGACTCGCGTCCGCGTCGGCTCGCAAGAGATATCTCGCTTTTTATCGACGTGCTACGAAAAAAGCCGCGATATCTCCCCGGTGCGAAATTCCGCCGCTGCATTCATCGCGATCTCTAACTGCGCTCGCAAACAGAGAATCTTGAGGTGATCGAGCGCGAAGCAATTTTTTGAGGTGAGCCTTCTTCTTCAAGGTTCGACGCGGCGCACAGTGGGGCCGGATGACGTTCTTTGATTGAAAATTCTCTAGAGACCTGAATTTCCAACCGATCATCGACGCCAATAGATGAGGTTGATCCTGAATAAATTCCGAAGAGTCTTGTCAAGATTAAAAAAAATTTTTTTTCTCGAATTACTAACCTGAAAAGAGGAAAAATTATCGTTAAACGCGAGAGACTTGTGAGATACTCATTATTCGACACTTATTTCTATCTAACAGCGTGCATTCAGCGGATTGAAACTATGAAACCAATCAACAGACACCTCGAGATTTATCGATCTTGAAGCAGAAACCCATTAACCCAAAACTCGTATGCCCAAGATACAAAAACATCAAATATAGACCCGTTGAGCGCAAAACCGAGGGATTTTGAGTCTTAAGCCCATCAACTCAGGAATCTATCAATCCGCGAACCTTTTAGCTCGTGGGTGCATGAAGCCGTATACATTAAGAGCCCCAAATAGTCCGAGAACCCAATCTAGCCACAGCTCGAGAACCTAATAATACTCGACGTTGAATATTCAGCTGTAAAACATTAAGTTCGAGCCTAGCTGAATGCTGAATGCCAAATCTCGAATTCGACAACTCTTAATCTTGGAGCTCAGGGACCCCATAGCCCATTAGCTCAAAACCTTTAGGGCCTGAACGCGGAAACATCGAGCCTCCAATATATATTCAATTCATTCATAGGCTCGAACCCATTGAGGTCGAACCCAAGACACTGTACTTTAAACTGTAACAAACCTTTAAGACAAATCCCTAAAAACTCACGAACTCTGAACCGATAATTTTTCCCAGATTTTGGCTAGACAGATCTCTTTGGAATTTCTTCAGGATCAACCTCATCCATTGGTGTCGATGGTCGGTTGGAAATTCAGGTCTCTGGAGAATTTTGAAGCGAAAAATGTCATCCGGCCCCCCACTGTGCGGCGGCTGAATAATCGTCCTCAGCATCGTGACGTGAAGAAATAGCCTGTACAGTGTTACATCGTGCGCAGATGATACCGTTGCGCCTGTGTAACGTTACGCTCCGTGTAATATCATCTCCAGCTTCTCCATTGATCCTCCAATCTCGGCGGAATTTGCGGCGTTTAATGCAGAACGGCCGGACATTTCGATGCGGGCGATCTCTCTCGCGCGCGCGCGCGCGTTCGCCGAGGCTGGCCGGGACGAGCGAAATGACGAGGCGCAAAGTACAACGATACGTACTACACTCCGTCGACGTGGTGCACAGGGCGATGCGAGAGGGCAGGGAAATACGGCAGGAGAACAATGGGACAACCCGAGAGGCGCACGCTCATCGCTGCGTCTCATCGAGCAAGGATCGCACATCGCGCCGCGGCGGCGGTGTCGACGCAAAAACAAAGTTCCGTCGCCGCCGGGCGGTAATCGCCGATCGGTGATTCGGCGAGGACGGACTCGAGACCTTGGCGCGGATCGACCGGCCTCGATCGCGCGGTGCAAAATCGCCCGACCAGCCGCGCTGCCGCGCGACTCAAACGAGACAAAGCGACGGGGGGGGGGGGGGTCGCCAATTGTGCGGCGTCGATCGGACAATGCGAACATCGAATTAGTTTCGGCCGTGTGTCTCGCGTCGCCAGTTCGAAGGCCAGGTCAGAAGGACAAGGGGACGCAGGCGTCGCAGGCTCTCACCTATGATACAAATCGGCTTCCGTATGAATCGCAGCCGTCCGCAGCAGCCCATGTACTTCGACCTGCAGCCGGCGCTCCATAGTCGCACCAAGTACTCGACTCCGAAGAATACCACGAGGCATATTTCCTGCATGAAAAGACGTTGCGTGCGATTAGGCTCGGCTTCTCGTCTACACGACGCCGGCGAGGCAGGAGGCTGTCGATCCTCAAACGCGCCTTTTTCCTTTCAACGAGGGTGACAGTTGAAGACGCGAGAGGTGTACCGCGAATGCCCGAGCGCGGAGGCATCGACGAACGTGCCGACGGAGGACTGACAGAGACAGACAGCAGCTTCCTGTCCGCCGCCGTTTCGATGGATATACGCGAATTCAGGCCAACTCGCGCGATCCTGACCGGAAGCGGGCCGGAATCGAAGCGATCGGGGAGGACTCGCCGCGCACCGTGGCCAAAACCCATTTTTTTAACATCTCTTTTTAACTTCAATTGAAACTCAATTGCAACGGGATCTTTTTGTTGGACGAATCGAAAATTGTTTTGATCAATTGAATTAATTAATTACCTTAAACGCGAACAAAAGTTTCGTTAAATTAACCTTACGGATATCTCTAAGTAAGATGCAGAGAATATATTTTCGACCACAGAAAAAAGTTGTTCAATGTTACGAAATTTTTATAAATAAATAATTCAGAGGATTATGGTAGAGGTAATATTCTAAACTTCGACTGGGAATAAAAAGTACAGATAAAACACAATTGGTTAAAAAAGGATTGCAGCAAGACTATTCGCCGTTAGTTTCGGCTAAATGGCCGAAACTCCATTTCCGCCAACTTCATGCTGCGATTACAATATTCCGACGCGGTTTGGCGCAGACAAACTTTTTCTTGTTCATTTCCATGTATCGTTACATTTCAAGTTCTGCAAGGGTCATGGCACCGGTTCACAACCGGGGACTTTGAATCGCAATTCTTAATTAGAGTTACATTTTACACAACAGCACTATTTTGCTTTACTCAGGAAGCGTGCATTTATATTAATTGCAACGAAAATTTAATAAATGACGGTGCTATTAGACGCACAAATCATACAACTAAACATCGATTTTCATCGTCAAATCATACAAGAGACTTGCGGTTTGCATGAACTTCGTGTACTCGTAACTCCCACAAATGGAATTATTTTGCATAACACCTTTACAGAAGTCCCGAAGAGACTTAGAATTAACAAAATATGATATAATAATGATTAAAGAAAAAATAATGGTTCAAAAAATGGGTTCTGGCCACGTTTTCGGCCGTTTTGACCACTTATTGCGCCGGCCGGAATCGGCCTTGATCGTCGCTTCCGCGGATTCGTACTCGTGCATTAGCTAATCGCTAAAACGAATATGCCGCGAGCGCGATAGCGCGCGCTAGAAGGCAGACGGAGGCTGTTGTATCGATTGTAACGGCGCCGTTGTACAGCAACGGGACGTCCCAGAGAAACGAGGACAACGGAGCGCGTTGGAGCCACGACGAGGCGGGATCCTTGAGGGAATCGGCTCACTGTATTCTTTTATGGCCCGGGACGTCGACGAGCGCGCTTTATCGCTTCCTTCGCGTTCGCGTCGACGAGAAATAACGCATCACGACGGCACCGCGAGAGATCGTAAGCTTTTACAACGCGGAATACCGGTTGACGAATCGCGCGCGGGCTTGTTGATTTTCGCGGCGGACTCGCCCGCGACTTTACGTCGCGCGCCAACGAGTCTCACTCGTCGAGTTCATGTTCTCTCCTTCCACTTTTAATAAAATGAGAGAGAGAGAGAGAGAGAGAGAGAGAGAAGGGAAGAGAGCGAAAGGAGGAGCGAATTTTATTTGCGCGGGTTCCTCGCGACGGAAGAAGAGAGACGCGCGGAAACTGTTGCAAAGTCCATTCCCGAGCGGGCCGATAAGTGAGCCGAGAGCGCGCTCTTTTCGAGTGTATTAATCGAGAACGAAGTTCGCGCGTCAAAGTTCCTCCGCGGGATATCGCGAGAGAGTCCGATCGGAATCGAGCTTTTGGCGAGTTTCGCGCTCGGCCGATCCAAAACTCACCATCCAAAACAGGGTTTCGTTTGCGAAGTTACTGTATTGGTCTATCGTTGACAAAACGCTAAATATGAGGCACACCAACACCACCATGAACCTGAAAAGAAAGCGGATTTTACAATGTGCATAAGTTGGCGAGAAGCCTTGATCGCGGAGCCTGCGGTTCTACTTGCGCCGGCAGGCTGGCTCTCATTTCATTAATTTCGAGCGTAAGGAAGGAGGACGTTCTACGCAAAGGGCACGTTAAAGTTTACATTCGAAGCAACTCCGGGGGGGGATGATCCTTCGTGAGATTCGCCCGCGATACTCTCTCCTCTCGCGGATACTTCCTCCGTTGCGAGCGTGCTCGCAAAGGAAGTACCCGAACTTTCGTCCGGGCTTTCGTCTCGCGACTCGCGCTTGTGCCAGAGAGGCAAGTTTTACGCAGCGAGTGCCGCGCCGTGCCGCATCGTCACGTTTCACCTTGGCCACCGCTATCGCTGCTCGCGAACGCGGAAGCGCGGCCTTCACGGCGCGAATACCTAACGCGAGGCACATCATTAGCGCGCGAGCGTCGAAAATAATAATAATAATCAACGGGGCGCGAGAATAAACGAATAAGCTCCCGTGCATGTCGCGCGTGCGTGACGCGCGGCATTCGCCCGGCGCGTAAAACCGCGTTCCCAATTAATTCGCGCTCAAGTTGCCGCCAATTGTATAATCCGGATCGTATCAACCCCGATTGATTGTAACACCGCGAGATGAGCGCTCGCAGCAGCAATCTGATATAATCCCAGCCGTTGCGCTGAGCATCAAACGCTCCGACGAATGAAACCCGATGCAAATTGCGCTCTCTTACCGCTCGCGCGTTACGCGCGGCGCATGCCACGCTTTGCAGCGCGCGCACAATCGATCCTTGCACTCGCCTGCGAGTTCGTCGCGATTCCGACTCGGCTCGGAATAATAAGGGAGGACAATGGGCCGGCGGGCTCTTACCTTTTCCGCGTGTCTGTGTGGATGTGCGTGCGTGTGTGTGTGTGTGTATGTGTGTGTGTGTGTGTGTGTGTGTGTGCGCGCGCGCATGCGTGCGTGCGTGTGTGTCGCTGAAAACAAAAGAACGGTTCGTTAGACGCTGCTGCGTCAAGCGTGCCTAGTCGGCAGCGACAAATTGCGACAAACGACAAGGTACGGGGCGTCATGCATCAGACATCCGCGTTACTCACTGCCGGGCTGTTGCAGAGTGTAACTTTGCACTTGAACTTGTAAGAACACACATCCATCGTGACGTGTGTGTGTGTGTGTGTGTCCGGGCACCTATCGATCGCGGACGATCGGATGTAAATAGTACAGCCGTGGAGAATGCGCGCGTCACACCGCGCGCGGTAACTTCTCGCTGGTTCTCGTGTGTTTCCCACGCCGCACTCCCCCCCCCGCCCCGGCGCCGCTGTATTTTGACACTTTGAAATTTCAGGGCGCAGGGCGCGCTGCGGTGCGGTGGTGTCCGCACGGCGAAAATTATTCCACGAATTGGACCGGGGACGGGATGTCGGGGTACGCCGGGCGAATTGAAATGGGCGTTCGTATCGCGAGAGACACCCCCGCGCACCTGCTGATATCCGAACGTAACACGGTGCGCGTGACAATGCACGCGCGGTAAGTTCGCGGGTACGGGGGGATGGCGGGTGGAGGGTGGCACGGACCTTCCGCGGTGCGGGAAAATTAAATAACTGCCTCCCCCGCGGCATTAGGCGAGTTGCAGGGCTAACCGGCGTCAAAAGAGCGAGCAATAAAATTCTATTAAACACAAGGGTGTAGAAGGGTGGGCTTTATGAAAAAATATTCCCCGCTCCTGCAGCGCCGGTTAGCGGAGGCAGTTTTCAGCGCTGCGGAAGCAGAAATCGTCCCGATGAATGGCTCTCGCCGAATCGGAAATTCATAAAACGGATCCTACGGATATCCTCCATGTGCTTTTTTTATGAATACCAGATATAGGATATCCAGAATAGAGAGGAGAGCGCAAGAGGTATATCTCGAAGGAAGACTCCGGGGTGTCGGAGTTGGCGAAACCGTGGAAAGCGCTCGCGCTAAAAATAAAAATTGCTCGATTGTCACCGCAGGACTTCCTTCAACCGAGACTCGCGCGCGCTCGGAAATTCCTCCGGCTGTCTCTCCGTCAGTCCATTCCGGCCGAATCCGAGCGAACTCTTCAGGCTCAGCCGCGCCGCCGCCGTCGCGGTCGCGAATCCTTAATCGCCACTTGACGCCTTGAATCGCGCCGCGAGTCGGAGAGCAAACGACGTCGGCGGAAAAGCGGAGACAGCGGGGCGAACTTCACACACACACACACACACACACACTGACGGGCTAGCGACTAACAGGACCGGTAATTGCTACGACGGATCGATCTAGCGGCGCTTTCGTTGCTTGTATAAGTAATTTATTATCGAGCGTTGCCTCGTTAAGCAACGGGACGAGCGCGCGCGTTAACGAAGACGGCCGGGACGAGCGAGCGAGCGAGCGAGCGGGCAGGCAGGCAGCGGTTGCTGCCGCGCCAGTACTCTTTAAGATAGCGTGTCGAGGGCCTATAATTCCGACGTATGTACAGCGCTCCGTAGCTGCACGGGTCACCTTCATCGACCTACTATGATAATTGTCTAACATATTCTTCCTTTTTTCCCCGAGCATCGGCCGGAACTCATCCATCTTCCGCCGGGCGTGTTCGGATGGACGGGTCTCGCGAGTCGCGCCAATTGCGCGCTCCTTGTGCCTCCTGCGGAAACGTCCAAGTGTCCCAGGCAGACGTTCGCCGAATCGAATACCGAAAACAACCCCTCAACATACCTCGACGCACCCCGAGAGCCGGATCCGTCGTTCTGCTTTCTCATCTCTTTCCCCTTCCCTCCTGTCTCTCCTCTCTTCTCTATTTTCCTGTCGTTCGATCTCGGTATTACTTACTAGATGTTTCCCCGAAACAACCCCTCGCGCGTCCGTCTTATCTTATCTTACGCCCTTCGACTCGATATCGGAAGGACAGCTTGCAATTTTGTTCGCTCAGACAGCCGATCGAGGCGAGTCGATCGTTTGAAAATGAGCGCTGGCGTCAAGTGCTCGTTGTCGTTGAAATCGATCGCAATCGGTTGTGAAGGAGATCGAAAAAGCATGGGAAAGGCGGCGAAGGGAAGAGCCGACACACGCGCGCGGTTTCGGTCGCGTAACGACAAGCTGGAAAAGCGACCAAGTCTAATCCCCGATATTAACACGAACGCGCATCGAACACGTTGCGCAATACGTTGCTTACGACTAAAGATATACAAAATGATTGAACGCGTGTACGGCCATTATGCATCTCCCGCGTATCAATTAACCTACATGCGATCGCGAGCAGATAGCGAGCGGCGTGCGTGCGTAGTTCCTATGGCAATAACGTCATGTTATGTCGTATCGTTTATTTATACTCGTCGTGGCTTTAATTACAAATGCGCGCTCGGAGAGACGAACAAATATCCCGATACTCGCTCGATACGCGCAAATAAGTACTTGCGCTTTAATTATTTTCTGGCAGATTAAATCGCGTGCGCGCGTGTTTGTGCAGCGGCGGCGCGCCGCCGCGCCGCCGCGCCGCCGCCGCCGCCGCCGCCGCCGCCGCCGCCGCCGCTGATAAAGCAGATTAATTCGTGATGATGCGTAATTAATATTATTATTATTATTATCGTTACACGCGGTCGTTGCGAGTGTAATTCCCGTCGATTCACGCAAACTGGCAGGATTGGCAGATCAATGAGATACACCCCGCCGGAAATAATACGAAGGTGCACCGCGCGCTCGCGGAGCTTCGCGCGCTTTCGCCGAAAGTCGCGCCGTGTCAATCCGTGCGGCGACGAGCCGCAGACGTCGCGGGCAGCCCCGTTTTTCCTCCTTCCGAATCGCGCTTCGACCGCTCAAGAATTTAGTAACGACCTTCCGCGGCCTCCGGCGACACGTAATCTCCGCGGGCGTCATTATGTGCGCGATATCGATATATCAGCGGGCGCGCGCGCGCGCGCGCGATTTTCATCTAAAAATAACAGGCCGCACGCAAATAGCCTGCATATGCATTGGGCCTAATAACACGCCCGCTATTTACGCCCGCTCGAAAGTAGGCCGGTCGAATTAGAATTACCGCCCGTACAGCTGCAGAGATGGACTTCTCCTAGCCGCGGCCGCGGCTAGACGCGAATACTCGCGTCTCGCCTGATTACGAGATATCCCCCCGTATTATCCTAGTCGATCCTAGTGACGATCTCGCGGGAAATTGCAGTCAATGCGTAAGAGTGTATTTTATCTCTGTCGGGATGAGAAGCCCGGCGGGTAAAACTCTCTTATGCATCGACTGCAATTGCAGCTACGACAAATACCAGCCGAGTTTGCGGATAATTCCCTCTGCAGGGAATCTAAATTGAATGACTCGTTTCTTTCTTTCTCTCCCTCTCTCCCTCCCTCTCTCTCTCTCTCTCTCTCTCTCTCTCTCTCTCTCTCTCTCTCTCTCTCTCTCTCTCTCTCTCTCTCTCGGCATCGAACCAATGACAGCACGATAATATAGATGGTGACGAGCGCCGTGGTAACGATTTGCCATATAAATCATTCGGGCGATCAAGTATTTACCAGGGAGTTTCATGCAGCGCGACTTCATCATCCGATTATCCAACGATTGTACGAACGGCGCAGCATTAAAGCCGCACGAGACGATCGCGTTATTAGCCGCAATCATGCCATCGCGGCTAAACGATATTCGTAAAATTTGCGAATTAAGTTCTCCGCAATTCCGCCGACTGTTATCGTGTGCTTTGCCGCTCGTTGCCGCGAAAGCGCCAACGGGAATTGAAATAACGAAACGCAACGAGACGGACGCGCAGAAGCGGCGGCGGGGGCAGCACGTCGACCCGCGGAAATAATTGTGAAGGCGAATTACGTGGATACAACCCATCTCCAGTATGCAGGAGGAAGAAAAAGAAAAAAAAAATATATATATATATATATTTCCGGAAATGAGCGACGAGAAATGAATCAGACATGGCGACAGTGGCATCGTGAGCAAAATGAAAGACACTTCCGTGGCAATTTCCGACTGTAGTGTTTCGCGACTCTCACGTCGTCGTTCGAAAGTTCGATAACGCAGCTTATTATCAGAAGAATCCTCCGCGTGGAGCGAGAGGGAGGGGGGGGGGAGGGGGAGAATGAAAGACAGCGCGAAAGCGACGCGGCTGAACGTTGAATATTTTCGCTATCGTAAATCTCGAAGCGCTCTCTTGCAAAATGCGCATATATCTCGGCGCGTGTGGGCGGTTGAAGGGGCGAAGGGAAGGGACTCGCGATTAATTTCGAGAAAAAAGCGCGCGAGTTCTCCCGCGGCATTAGTCAAACAAACGCAACGTCTTATTTATCAGCCGTTAAGATTCCTCGTCGCGCGCGCGCGCGCGCGCGCGTGGATTTCATTTCAGATATGCGCGCGGAGGAACGTGCAGTCGCGGCTGCGGAGAGCAGGGCTGCGAGATATTCTACGGACTTGAAATATCGCTCGCGACACAAATGAATGCGCATAAAATCTTGATAATTCTGACTTTCCACTTAACGATCGGCTCGTTGGGACACGCGCGCGACACGGGTCGTCGTGTATATTCGTCGCGCGAGGATCGATCTGTTTCGCGGCTACTTCTTCAGCGCGTTTTGTTTTTCGATAATGAATTATTGAAAAGGCTGCGGTGCTTGGCGGCAGTTTAGAAGAAGTGAAAAACAGCCGGGTTGAATAATGCACGAAGTGCGCGAAGTTCATCAAATGGCAAAGATGTCCGCCGAGGCGACGGATACTTTGCGCGACGGTCAATCTATGCTCACTTCCTGAGAGAGAGAGAGAGAGAGAGAGAGAGGGAGAGAGAGCACGAAACGCACGACAAGCGTCTGCGTATAATGCTGCGTCTGTTATTATTTTGGAAATGTAATATAGTGTTCTAGCTGAAAGCGCGTGTAAAGCGAGATAATTATGAAGCATAATTCGCGAAACTAATGAGCAATTACGCGAAGTAATTAACGGATAACGAGAAAGCAAAATTTTACAATGCACAGCGGATGACGAGGGTCCTGATTTCACGGGGAGAGGGCGCGGACAAGAAGCGAACTTTCGAGCTGGACGATAAATTAGAATCGAGGGAACGGAACAAACAGTAAATTAGGACGAAAACGAGAAGGGTATTATCCGAGCGTCGCAAACATCTCCAACGCGGTGGGAACTGAAGAGCAAATATCAATTTTTTCTCCGGGCATTCGCCGACGTATTTAATCGGCGGCTCTTATCGTCAGGCGATCGCGGGCGCGCGCGCGCTGTCAGAAAGCAAACACAACTTCGCGTATGGTCACGAATGTTTATCCCCGTCTCAGAGCTGACCCCGTGTATTTTCTCCGGATATTCTGCCACAAAAATACCATGCAGCGGGAGGTGCTCGACGAGTTATCTTTTCCACAGCCTGTCCCTTTTGAACAAACTGACAACTTTGTGCTTTTCTTTGCTATGTAAACGCGGAGTGCACGAGGAATGAATCGACTATAAGCTCCCCCCTATAATTTCAGAGATACCGGCTGTTGCATTATTTGTAAATACACTCTTCGTTGTACCGAGAAGTCATTACGAAAACTGCGATCTGTATCGCGATCTATGTCGCAATTGTGCGCTAATGATGTGTACATGAGAATTGCTCGTGTTCGCGCCGGCGAAGGTACAAAAGCTTTCTCGCGAAAGAAAGAGAGAGAAAGGGAAATAAATACACACACACACACACACACACAGAGACTCTTTTATCGACACACTCCCAAAGTCAGGCATCCCCAGGTATTCAGCTCCAACGCCTGTTATCGTTTATCGAATCGCGCCGACGGTGAGCAATAAAATCCCCTGCGAGCTAGATACATGTTCTTTGATCAAATCGAGGATCGCAATCGCTCTCGCTCGCGCGTGCACTCACGCGAAGGCAAAGTGATTCGAGCGAGCGTCGTAGGCCGGAGCCGGGAATCCCCCTGGTAGCGCAGGCAGGATTTGGGCTACGCCAGGTGTCAAAGGCCACGTCGCCGAGATCGATGCTCGGCGCTCGGAACGGAAACGGGAGGAACGAAGCCGCTGTGAGACGCGGCATTTGACGTTTGCGGGTCTTTCGACCTTTCGCCGCTATTAACGGCGTGTACGTATATA